GGGCACGATGGAAGACAGGAGGGCCTGGCATGATGTGGTCTATGGGATCGTGAAGAGACGGACTCGACTGTGCATCTGAACAACAACAAATACAGCTCCATAAAAATAGCTGTGGCAAAAAGAAATCTAAAGGATAATGCAAAATTCATTCACTTATTTATCATATATACTTTCAGATAAAGGAGGCAGGGCAGTTTACAACAGCTAGTGGCATATTCAAAGCATCAGTGTATGTTTGCATTTGCAAAGGAGTGTTGTAGCAAAAGCATCTGAGGGGCTCTAGAAGATATAGGGGGGGCAGACTTTTACGACTCTGCCCTACTTGCCTTGTACAGGATGCCACTTTAGCTGTCCTGATGAAAGCCTTTGACAGGAGGATCAGTTACAAGTAAAAAATCTGACCTTGATCAGGAAAGGTACTCCTTACCACTGTGCACTTTGTGGAGTGTACATTTATTCAGGGGTCATTTCGTAGAAAAAGAGGTACAGGAGCTCATTAGCATAACTTATTTGCATATGCCACACCCCCTGACATCACCGGAAGTGTGTCAGAAGGCAACACTCACCGCTCAGGCTCCACTGGACTGTTTTGGATTGCTAGCTGGGGGGGGGGGCATGCAGATCTGTCCTCGCAGAGGAGGGAGAGCTTGTACCAGAATAAAACTTGGTCTTAAAGGCTCCTCTGGACTGTTCTGGACCGGGGGTGTGTGTGCTCTGCAACTTATCTGGCTGCTTCTTGCTCTGACTGAGGGCTGTTGAGAGCAGGGGGTGGGGCTTGTTGCATGTGCCCGCCCCCTGGGCTCTTTACTGCCGGAGCTCCGCTCCTGTGGGCTCCTGCAGGAAATGACCCCCAGCATTTATTATGTGTTAACATACATTAATTGGAGACTTGATAGGCCAATTTTCTACTTAGAGTACACATGAAGAGGCCATAGGGCTGTTTGTTTTTCCTGCAACCAATAAGATTAGAGGCCTGCAGCAAATGGTGGGTGGGTTGGCTGGCCAGCCATGGGAAACTATCTCCTCATACATCTTTGTCCCCATGCTTGCCTTCTCTCCATTTCAGCCATTTCTGTCTAGCAGTCCTCCCTGTTCTCTCCCTTTATCTTCCCTCCCACCTCTCTCAAATGCTTATCTCCTCCCACCTTTCCTCCTCCTTGCCAACATTCTGAGCACCCTTTGCTGCCTTTTTTTCTTCTCACATCCCTGATGCATACACTGATTTGGGGGAAGTGTCATTCCTGTGAAGACAGTACTGAGTACACTATAGTCAAGTAGTGGAACATCAGGAATCATTGGGAGGTAGGGTAAATGAACAAGAAGCAATGCACTAATAGGACATTGCTGAATTCTGAGGCTAGATGAGCAGCTTTTTTCTTTCTTAGTTCTGAACCTCAGCAATCTAACACAATGTTGTAACTGCCCAGTTGAGATGTGGGGTGCTGCTCCTCTGCTCCTGACAGATGCAGTGCTGGAGTGGGACATTTTCATCTTTCACTTCCTGTATTGTATAAGGGAGGAACTGGAGTGATTCTAATTACACCCTTTGCATATTCCCTTCAGTTTAAGGAACTCTTATGTTAAGACTTGAGGATGCACGTCTCTCCTAACCCTAATTAATCTTCCTTCCTGCCCAGTTCTGTGTGGTATCCTGGTCTGGAGGGGTGGAGAACCATGTTCAGGGCCTCCATTTATCAGGAAAATCATGGCTCCCATTCCTAATCTCCACTTGCAGGATACTATAAACTACTATTGGCTCAACCAGGCCAGTTCCTCCTGCCTTCTGTGTTTTCCCTCTCTTTTTCCTACTTCTGAATTTATCCCGTGGTTCTCTCTGGAGTGCAGTGAGTATTCTTTGTTCCTGTTAAGCTAATGTTTAAAACTATTTTTTCTGCAGTTCCCTATCTCCCCATGAAAAAGACGAAAAGATATAGCAAAACTACTTGTTAGTGAATCAAACTGTTCCAAATGAGATACATATATTATACACTACTATTTGTTACAATCAAATGATAGTATCAAGACATCTACAGTTTTAAAAATATTATTTAACCTCTCTATAGTAGTGTTCATACCTATCCTAAACATAGGCACATTATTATGCTGATGTATTCTTCCTGTCCGGTCTTTCAGCGTGAGAAAAGTGGTACACAAATCTTTTGAAAGAAATGTAGTACTGGGTCTTAGGCGTTCAGGATTCAGGATTGTTGCTAGCGATCCAGGGCCTGGTCAAAGACCAAGGGTACCTTTTATTAGGACCAATCAAAACGTCTCGAAGTCATGAGCAAGCTCGCCCACTACTTTTGACGTTTGAGACGTCGTCCCTAATAAAAGGGTACTCCATTCGGTGAGAGCCGCATTTCCCGACTTCACCACCTCCCCCCCCCCCCCCCCCCCCCAACCAGGCTGCAAATTCCAGTGGGGCAGCCATGCTTAGCTGTGGCAAAAGCAACAAAAGAGGAGGTGTCTCGGCGGCACGGGAAAGGCTGGTTATTTGTGCGGTGAGTTCTCGCCATGAAGTGGTCTCTAGCTTCTGCTACTACAAACCAACCCACCCCCAAACGGTTAGTTTTTTAAGGCTACATTCGTTATATCCGTTTGTTCCGGATCTGCAAGGGGTTTTTTTGTTTTTCCATGAGACTGACGGATTCCCCCCTCCCCTCCCCGCTCCTTTTGTTTGCTCCCTGCGCCGTTTCCTCAGAGTTTGGCTCCCCCGCTGAGCGGCCCCTCGGCCGCTCCCTTCCTTCTCGCAGACCATCCGCCACCGACGCCTCCCATCGGCCCGTGCCTCGCCCGCCCGCTCGCTCCCGCGGCGGCCCTGACCAGGAGCGCGCACGTCGCCGCCACGGCTCCCTGCAGCTGCTTGGCCCGGCTCGGCCCGCTCCGCCGTCGGTGTTTCCTTGCCCGTCTGTCAGCCAGCCTGCGAGGGAGGCAGCTAGCCGTGTGGGGAGGGGCCCCAGCGCCCCGCCAGGCATTGCTTCGGCCCTCTTCGAGCCCCGCGCCTTTCGGACCAGCCGCCGCGTCCCCATCCCCCCCCACTCTGAATCCCGCAGGTAGGAGCCGCCCCGGGCCTAGCAGCGCTCTTGCTCTCCTCTTCCTTCTCTCCTGGCAAGATGGAGCCCCCCCGCTGTCCCCTGGGGGGCGGGGGGGGGGGGGGGAGAGGGGAAAAAAACAACAACCCTGCGCCCTCCTCCCTCCGGCGCAGTTCCTGAGCGAGCGAGCGAGAGAAAGACCCTAATTCTTCCCAGCGCCACGGCACTGGGGGAGAGAACAAACGGCTCTTCTCCTCTCGCAGTGGAAGGAAGAGTTGGAGGGGGGCCCCCGCTTTTTTCTTTTACTTCTCTCACCCCGTCGGTGCCTGGAGGTTGCAGTAGGAATGGAACGTCCTTTATGCCTCCGAGGGGGAAAAGTGGATCTGTAAATACACACCCTGAGGAGGGTACAAAAGCTACTCTTCCCTTCCTCCTCATTTGTTTTCCCAAAGGCTTCACAATTAAACTGCAGTTGTTCGAAGAGATCTCATTTCGAAACGACAAAGTTCTAAATCTGGAACAGTCACTACCGGCGATAAAATTGGCAGTTTAAACAAAGACAGGCGCCGAACGCTTGAGAGGGAGAGGATTAAAAATATCTTTCTGTTCCTTTCTTGGAAAGGGGTGTGTAAGAGAAAGTTACAGGTTAATTTCTGCGTTAAGCTGTCATGGATAAAGTGGGCGTACATTTCTAGCAGCTTAAAAAACACACACACACACACAAAAACCTTAACCCCCAAAGTTGTAGTCCTGTGTGCCCTCTGCCTCCCCCACTTAATTTTTTTTCGGTGGTAATTGAATTAAGAGCCCCTAGCTAAACAGCCGTTCTTGCAAACGTCCCAGGAATAGTGCTTACACTCCAGGGCTGTGGGGGGCAGTGATGAGGCTCATAGAGAGAAGAAAAGGGGTAAGCTTCTGCCATTCAGGGTTGTCTTGCTTTGCTGTTTTAGCCATTCAGAGTATTTTGTAGTCCTGATACAGAGCAGTCTGGTGTGAGTATCAATTTATAAAGTATCTTATTGCTGTACCTTATTTTGCATTTTTTTCTGTTTGTGCATATCTAATATAGGACATATTTAATGGAAATTGATAGCGGACCTGTATTTTGTACAAGCCTGTATGTGTACATTCAATTCACATTGTGAATATATGTCTTGCTGTTTGCATTTAAGCGTGGTTTGATGAGTACAGTCTTTACCTTGTTCGTTTTTAGCTTGCTTTTCCTGTTTTCCTGCTGAGATTTAAGGCCGATAACAATATATATATTTTTTTTAAAAAAAGGAGTAAAATCAGACACCATAAATCATCCATTAAAGTGCAACAAGACTAGGATTACAGAGTTAGGAGGAAAACTACCAAAAATGACATACCATAATACAGAAAGTGGATTACAAAGGTAGATGGTAGTGCACAAAACACAAGGTGATACATACAATAAACATTACAATAGGCGACAATCCTGTTGTTATAAAAAGCATCCTCCTGAGCTGTTCAATATACTGCAGTTCTAATCCTTCTAAAAATGCCTTTCCGAACATTTTCTGTTTTGTACACCTGTAATTGGAGTATTTCTAATCTGGACCAATACCTCTTTAGTGATATAGCTGCATGTGTAGTCACATTGATTATGTGGGGGAACATTTATCATTATAAACATTTCATGTTTTCAGTGGATTTAGCTGTTGCGTATTATCTCCCGAAAGTCCTTTTTTTGGGACCATGTGTTAATTCCCTCCTTTTGATGTTAAGAAGAAATTAATTCTTATTCCAAATATTCTGTTGTAAAGATAGGGTTGAACCTTAAATTTCAGTACTGTTTGGCATGCTTCAGGTTTCCCTGTTCTCATTTTACATCTTCAGGTTATTGGTTTAATTATATATCTTTGCATTTGTGCAAGGATCTCAGGAAATGCTGTTAATTTGGATGTGTATAAGAAGTTACTTGTTTAATTGTAAAAACCAAAAATTTCTGTTTGTGCATATCTAATATCTATTTGTGAAAGTATGCTGAAATGTTTTCTCTCTTTTAGCATAAATTGCTTAGGACAGAAGGTTTACAAGGAAATTCTCACCATCCCTGAACTACTTGTGAGTAAGCACTCCAGTCTGTAGTTTGACACTGCAGACCAGAGTATTTATTCACTAGTAATAGTTAGGAGCTGCGGTGGCTCAAGTGGTTAAGACGCTGAACTGCAGGCTGTGGAAGGTCAGTAGTTCAGGAGTTCGAGACCCGGGTACCGCATGACAGAGTGAGCTCCCGTCTCTGGCCCCAGCTCCTGCCAACCTAGCAGTTCGAAAGCAAGAAATTGCAAGTAGATAAATAGGTAGATTGCAAGTAGATAAATAGGTACAACTTCAGGAGCTCACATATATCTCCCCTGTTCTCACAATAATCCTGTGAAGTAGGTTCAGGTGGGTAGCTGTGTCGGTCCGAAGCAGCAGAACAAAGTTTGAGTCCAGTGGTACCTTTATTCAAGGTGAATAAAACTTTGTTGGTCTTAAAGGTGCCACTGGACTCAGACTTTGTCCTCCTGTGAAGGAGATTAGTCTGAAAATTACTGACCATGCTAATTGAAGCCCAAATAGAATGCATTCCACAGGTTAGGAAAGTCTAAAACAGGTTGCCAAGTCTAAAAGAAGGCCTGCATGATTAACAATGCAAGTCAAGGAAGCTATAAAAAGAATTTATTTCTGTTTATATCCCGCCCTACCCCACAGAATGGAGCTGCGGTGGCTCAAGTGGTTAAGACGCTGAACTGAAGACTGGAAGGTTGGTAGTTCAGCAGTTCGAGACCCGAGTGTGCCACATGACGGAGTGAGCTCCCATCTCTAGCTGCAGCTCCTGCCAACCTAGCAGTTCGAAAGCAAGAAATTGCAAGTAGATAAATAGGTACCACTTCAGTGGGAAGGTAACAGCGTTCCGTGTGCCTTGGTGTTTAGTCATGCCGGCCACATGACCACGGAAACGTCTTTGGACAGCGCTGGCTCTTCGGCTTTGAAACGGAGATGAGCACTGCAACCCTAGAGTCGCATTCGACTGGCTTTCGAGCAAGGGAACCTTTACCTTTAATAGTAATGTTAAGGAAAAGTTGAAGGCAGCAGGAAAAGACGAGGATCTAATATGAGATGGATTAACTCAATAAAGGAAGCCACAGCACTCAGTCTGCAAGACATGAGCAAGGCTGTTAATGATAAGACACTTTGGAGGTCATTAATCCAGAAGGTCACCATAGGTCTGAAGCAACTTGACAGCACTTAGCACACACATGGGTCACAAATGCATAAAGAGCACTGTAGAACTTCTGGGACAAGGGTTGATGATGGAATTCTGGCTTCCTTTTCATGGAAACAGTATTGGGGGAGAATGCTGATGTAGGCACAGCCAGGGGTCATTTCCTGCAGGAGCACACAGGAGCGGAGCTCCAGCAATAAAGAGCCCAGGTGGCAGGCACATGCAACAAGCCCCACCCCCTGCTCCCAGAAGCCCTCAGTCAGAGCAAGAAGCAGCCAGGTAAATTGCAGAGCCCCCCCGGCCCCCCAGTCCAAAACAGTCCAGTGACACCTTTAAGTCCAAGTTTTATTCAGGTACAAGCTCTCCCTCTGTGAGGACAGATCTGCACATCCCCCCCCCCCCAATAGCTAGCAATCCAAAACAGTCCAGTGGAGCCTGAGGGGTGGGTGTTGCCTTCTGACACACTTCCTGTGATGTCAGGGGGTGTGGCATATGCAAATAAGTTATGCTAATGAGTCATGCTAATGAGCTCCTGCACCTCTTTTTCTACGAAATGACCCCTGGGCACAGCCATATTAAACCTAGTTTACTCCTGGAAAAAAAATGATCAGCTTTTTATTTCTCACATTAGAGTTATGCTGTTAGTTCCTCTAAGGTCATACCACTCCTGCTTGCCACTCTGCTCTTCTCTTGTCTTTGTGACAGTAATTATGTAATTATAAAATATGAGAAGGAAAAATTAATCTCTCCAAAATATACTTCTCTCATAGGTGTCTAATGAAAAGAAAAATATTGGAAACATGACATGGAAACAAGACAGATTTCCTACATGGAAACCAGAAGGGCATTTCTGCTCACTGGGTGGGGGGATGATTCCTGTCTTTTTCACATTCCCACGGTGTATCACATACCTGCATCATTCCCAAGGGCCTAGTGATTTTAGCTGGGGCTTTTGAAGGGATGTAGAGGATGCAGTCGATAAGAGAAGAGAGGAAAGAGCTCAACTTGAGAATCTTTGGAGCCAGTTCAATATGAATTTATATACAGATTTTCATAGACCATTCCCCATGATTTACAGTAAACGTAGTGAATGCATACATGTCTATACTGTTGTATATATATATGTCAGGAAACGGTGATTGGTATTTGCTTCCCTGCTGTTTGTGTTGTGCAGCATGTTTGACCAAAGTACGTATGGAATTCATGTAACTTCCTACATAGAAGATGCTTCAGTGTGACATTATTGTATGAAGCAGCTCTGTGTTTCTATACCAAATGTAAGAAATCTACCCTTTAGTAGAAGTCATTCTAAACACCAGATCCTGAAATGCCTTGTTCATGGACTTAATTTTATTGATTCAAAGCTCCTATTGTGATTTCAATTGGAGTATTGAGAACTAAACATGATTAAGAATTTGGGTAATTTTGCCCTGACCTGGATAGCCCAGGCATGCCTGATCTCGTCATATCTCGTAAGCTAAGCAGGGTCGACGCTGGCATTTACTTGGATGGAAGACCTCCTTGAAATACCGGAGGCAGGGGGACAGGCTTTATTCAGCCACCTCCCTGAATACCCTACCCAGTAGGGGTCAGTCACCAGAGGTCGCCATGACTTCCAGGTGCACACACACTCACACGTGTGTGCGCACACACATATTAAAAATACAAAAATACATATTAAATACATATTAAAAATACAAAAAATACAAAAAAAAATTAAAAAGAATTTGGTTAATTTTGTATGGCAGAGAGCTGTAAAATCCTCTAGCTTTATTTGAAGGGGCTGCTCTATTAGTGGCCTGTGCTTGCTGTGAGAAACAGAAAGACAGAGCCACTAATAACCTGAACTCTGATTTTGCATCTAAAGTAGTAATCCCTAAAACAGAGTGAATACAAATTATTTTGTCTGTATCTAAGTAAACCTTTGTGGCGAGTGAATAATTTAACAACTTCCAGTGTAGTCACTCTGGTTCACCAGAGCCCTGGCAACAGAGAAAAGACTTCTTTGCTGCCTCCGTTATGGTGTATATATGTATTTTAAAATGCTGTGTCCTACAGACATTCAGTTTTGAGATTCAGGTTCCACCTGGTGTGCTTTCTTGCTTATTTCTTTGCTGCTCCCCAGTAAACCAGGAGGGTCTCTGGAGGAGGAGGAGGTTAGAGGACACCTAAAAGGCACTGTACCATTCCGTCTGCCCCAAATTAATCTACTATCCATAGTTCAACAAAACCATTGAATTTTAGCAGCCTTTAGCTATTGTCAGTGGGGAAAAATACTCTGCAGAGGACAGGGTCCAATGGACACCATACGTTTCCGAAGTTAGACCATCCTTATTGGTTGGCTCATCTTGACAGACACATGGGAATGAAAGTATCTGTGCCTTAAAAATTGATAATTGTGTTCAGGACCATTCTATAATTGTTCTTTTTTTCGTGCTGTTGTAAATTGGAAGATTTCAACACCATCTTGAAGGCCACTTACCTTGTGGAATTGTTACAATGCACCAGTAGTAATTCTAGTTTCCCAGCCTGTTCTACATCAGGCAAGTCATGTGTTAAATACCTTTGTTAAGATAACACAATCTTTACAGGTCACTGAATTATTTCAAATAACATAGTCTTGACAGCCATACTTACTATAGTATCCTAACAAGAACATTAGCTTAAAATATTGATTCTGGTACATTGATGTGATTCATTTTGGTACTAGTCTGGGAAGAGAACAATTCATAACCCACCAGTTCATTTTTACAAAATGAAACAAAAGACAGAGGTATTAGGAGTGATTTATTAGGAAAATGACATAATAATTGCTTTATATCCTGTCAAAACAGCTTCACTATTTTCAACACTTAATGCTCATTTAGCAGTTCTAATTTCACTGTACATTTTAAGAGCACTAATCATTGAAGTGCTACTGCTTGTGTGAAGTTTTTTGTGCTAAAGCAAATCTACATACAGCACTAATTTTATCTTTTTGTACTGTCTAGATGCTAGGTGTTCACTGATGGTGACTTCAAATGACTTGTTTTTAATTAATCTTTGATATTAAGATGTGTTTAGTCATTTGTTTGTGTGCTGAGCCAATTTCTCTAATTTTAGAGAACATTCATAGCTTTAAGTCAGAAAAATATTTCCCTGTTGAATGCTGGTGTTTGTTTTATACATCTGTGTCTCTGATTTTTTTTTTCCCTGGGTAGAAAATGATGCATCCTGTTGCCAGCGGTAACTCCCCTTTTTGTGGGACCGGAAAGAGTTCTTGCCTTAATGATGACAACGTAACGCCTACTGATCAATTTGACTTATATTCCACACAACAAACCAAGTATAGCCACACGGTCAGCCACAAGCCAATACCGTGCCAGAGACCAGATGCGTTAAATGAACCACACTTGCAAACCACAAGTGGCAGGAGTATAGAGACGAAAGATGAACTAAAGAAAAAGAAAAACCTCAACAGATCTGGTAAACGTGGAAGACCATCGGGGACCACAAAATCAGCGGGCTACAGAACAAGCACAGGTAGACCGCTGGGGACCACCAAAGCGGCTGGATTTAAGACAAGTCCAGGGAGACCCTTGGGTACAACTAAAGCTGCAGGATACAAAGTCAGCCCAGGGAGACCACCAGGTAGCATTAAAGCTCTATCACGGCTTGCAAATCTAAGTTATACTTGTAGCAGTGCAGCTTTTCCCTACTCTGTGGTGCATAACAGAGGGGTCCATGCTGCTGGTGAAACAAGTAGCAAAATCAAGCAACCCAGTGAATGGAAAAAGGAGGAATTAGATAACATTTCCTAAGTAATTCTTTTTAAATTATCTGAGTTGTGGCATGTTTTTTCACTACTTTTGTAACTTTTCCATAGCCTTCTTTCCTACATTTTTTAAAAGATGTCATATCTTAATCACTTAATGTTTCTCATGTTTACAAGAGGACTCCTCAGCGATGCCCTTGTGTTTCCAGAAACTAATTTCTAATACTCTAAGTGTCAAAGTTAATGTCTGGCCATTTTAGTTGTTTGCTTATTTAGAAATTCATATAGCAGACTTATAGTTCCTAAGTTATTTAAGATCACAATAAAAACTTAAGTAAAAAATAAATCAGAATAGATTAAGAAAAACCAGTAATTCAGGCCTGTTCTACCAATAAGAGCCGTAAATATTTTACATTATGTCTTCACGTTTTTTAAATGGAAGGGAGAAGAAAAAGAACTGAATTTTCCACAATTGCTGGAACTTAACACGGACCTCAGATATCTGTAGATGTTTTGAATTTTTCAGAACTATATTTTTTAAAAAGCAGTCATTCCAGGCAGTCATTTTGTTAAAATGCTATCAGTTTCAATTAACTCAAACATTTCCCCCCAAAAATTATTCCATGTAGCTCCTGATATATATTCTATTTTGTCATTAAAGTATGGTAGCTCTTCTAGTTATTCTAACTATCGAATACTGACTTGCAATTTATAAAAGCCTAAAATTATATATACCAAATTGTTTTACAGGCATTTTTAAAGAATGCTATCAAATACATAATACCAGCCATCATAAACATGGCTGAAAAGCTGTACTATCTGGTTGATTTCAGTGATGTTTGGCATATGCAAATATGTGTAGAATTGTGTCCTATATTCCAAAATCTGTCAACAAATAGGACTTTTAATTGACTTTGCAATATCTGCATAAATAGTGGCAGTTGTTAGGATTTCAAATATTTGATGTGGTTGGAAATTATGCTTTTCAGATAGACGACATTGATATTTTAAATCATTTTGCCAGTAGGACTATTTATAAGTTTTCACATATACTGTATCTAAGACAGCATATATCTACCAAAGGATGACATTTAACAGTTCATAATTGAGAACTACGCAGTTGATGTCCAAGCAAATTGCCATTTGATGTGTTTATGGACCCCAGGTATACAACAGACTGTATAGGAATACATCTATGCATGGGAGGTGCAGAATTATAAATAAGTTTCCTGATACTTTGTGCACCTAAAAAGAAATGTTCTGCATTGAACTGGGTATGTGTTTTTTTTAAATGTGTGTGAGAGAGATAATGTATAATGCACACATTATGTTGTATGAAAAATTTCTCAATATTGAATATATTCCAAATATTTCTTGCTTACATCTAACATTCCATTCTAAAAATAAGTTTGCATATAGTTGTAGAAATTCTAAATTTGTATCTTCACATACATGAGAAAAAGGGGAGTTATAAATAAATATTTGCAAAGTCATGGGGACAGAACTCTTTCAGGTTAATGAGAATGATGAAAATTAACAGTATTGATTCTTTTTTTTCTTTGTAAGATAAATGTTGTGGCCTGCTGACATTTTGATGACACTCTGCTTTGAGTAATGACAACTTAAGAAATGGATGTCATTTCATGCCTTTTTTATCAGGAAAAAAGCAGCAAGCCTTCAGGTGTTCCAGTGATGCCTAACTCATAATGAGCTGGACTTTATGCTGTATTTTATAATAGATGTGTTGAATTGATTTGGGGGGACTATGTATGCACTGGCAACCATGAACCTCAACAGTACTGGAAGGCTTTTTAGTCATGTAAACTGATGGCAGCTAAACTGCTACTAAAATAGTTTTTTGCTGAAACTATGAAGCTCTTTATATATTTCGTTCTTCAAGAAACTTTGGAAGTATGACATCCTATTAATTTTTCCCACCATGGTGCAACTTCTGACACACAATGTTAATGTGAGCTAATTCACCCTCAGGATGTATATTGTGCTGGCTGTTTCGTTACATGACTTTTTTTCCAACCAAAAGGCTGCTTCTGACCCTTTCTCCTCTTGGAAAGCAGCTGAATGTAAAATCTACAGGAATGGCTTACCTTAACTGGCAAGGAGAAAGTTGCGTGTCATCAGTGTACCTTTGAATAACCTCCTTCTGTTTTTCTCATTCTGCACCTCTTTTGCTTCTCAGTCATGTGCATCTACTCAATGGTGCCATGCAGTGTATTGGGAGATAACATAGATGCATTATTGCTCTGGTATAATGAATTTTGTATTCAAGTATGATGAGAAAGTAATGAAATCATCTAAGCAATTTATGCTTGTATCTAGTGCTCATTTAAAAACACAAATATTGTCAGTTGGGGAAACAGAAACGGGGGGAAAAGTTTCTCTAAAGGGCAGTTTAATGCCCTGGATTAGTTAATGAGGCCAGAAGAACACTGTTGGGCATTTCTTGATTCCAGTTTATTTTATCCTCTGCTGTGGTTTACAAGTGCCATGCTGTGGGGTGGAAAGAAGTCAAGACCCGGAGATGTTTGAATGATATATTCAAATATTTTTGCTACTCCTGTATATAGTGTTCAGAATACATTGTGCTTTTGTTTTTCTTTCTTTTCTTTTTTTGTAACTCTGTCTGTTGTCATGACAAACACACAGCATGTTAACTCCTATACTTTGATATTATTGGAAAGGGAGAAGGGAAATGTCCCTTGCCTCTCATAGTATTACTACATGATTTATAACAGCGGTACTCACTTCGCAGCTAACAGAGAGCTACATTTGTAGTTACCATAAACCAGAAGTTGCATCAGTATTGTATGCCCTTTGAGCCACCCCACCAAACATACACTCACAGCGACATAACTATTTATATTAAATATATAACCATAACCTTTTTAATCACCACAGTAATGCTGAGCATGCAGGGTTTCTCCCCAACACTGCCAGCCCTTGGGTATCTGGAGTGAGGCTTGCATGTCAAAGTCATGGCACAAAATTGTACAACCTTTCCTGTTCTCCAGAACTCTTTATGGGCTGGATGTTAAAAAATAAATTGCTTCACTATGTTAAAATTGCCCTTGAAGTTGAACTCTAATGTTGAAGGAGACAGGGTGATCAGAAACTCATTCTGTTCCTTGGTATGCCCCATTCCTCTACATCATTCAGCTGCATATGTTGATTCAGCCTCAAACACAGAATCCCTACATCTCCACAACGTCTAAATAACTGATCATAGGTTATGCTATGTTTTAAATATAACACTGTTAGTTTTCATCATTAATATGGGCTCAACATTAATACCCCAGTTTCTTAAAAGTTCATTAGAGTTTTACCTTCTCTCTTCATCTCAGAAATCAGATAGGGCCGGATGGCTTGAGAAACTACCATATTCAAAGTGCCCTAATCTAGGTACTGTGGAGATGCTAACAGGATCATTCTGTGCATGTTTACTCAATCCTACATTATTCAGTGGGACTTGCACTCAGGTAAGTGCGCATAGGATTGAAGACTAAACCATGCACTTGCAGATGTGGGGGTTTAAAAGATGTCTGAAACTCAGTGCACTACTGGCCAGCAAAGTACTTAATGGACTGTGCAGGGGAAAGAATGGAGAAAGCACACGTGTTTTCTCTGCAGAGCTTGCTTTGTCTTGTGCTGGGGAGTGAGCAAGAAGGCAAAGAGGCAAGTAAAAGATACTGTATCTTCCTTCTTCAGGAGCCCGTTTGGGTTGTGCCATGAGTGTTTTGAAGGGCTCACAGCTCAGGTGAGAATGAGATGGTCAAGGCTATTATGTCTCAGGAAAACAAGGTAAAGGGAGCTCAGACTTCCCAGTGCATAAGCCTGCTCTGAGCCAGCCACAGCAATGTTAAGCTTCTCTTCACAAGAAGCCTGTGTGCCCTTCTTCTCTTCCTTCTTACTGTTTTCCCAGCATAAGATACGGCAGCTCAGGTGACACAGTAAAATTGCCATGGTGCCTGGAGGACAAATTGGTTGTAGAGAAGAGAGAATAAAATCACCACGCTGCTGTGGATAGCTTGCTCTTTTCCTGGGTAGCTGCTTTTGGTGATAGTGATTTTACTCTCTTCTCTGTATCCAGCTTGTTCTTGTAGTTGACCAGGTAGAGGGATGAAAGTGCAGAGGCTGCAGAGAAACATGGGGTTGTAGAAGAGGGTGGGCCTTTCTGTCCCTGCCATGAGGCCCACACTTCATAGAAACATGCAGCTTACCCATCCTCCAGTCCCTCTGGCAGTGGCTGTTTAAGATGGGAATCACCTGCCAACCAAAAGCTGCACCAGGCGGGGCCCTCGCCCATTTCCCCTGAAATATGGGGTGGGTGACTCATTGAGCACTGTTGTTCAGAAGAACCATATATAGTATGTCAAAGAACCATACATGTCTCCTGAGCCACTGAGTGAGTATCACTGATTTATAAAGCAAATCGATAATTTTATATATACCTTAATTCTGCTCTTCATAAGCTAAGATTGTTGATGTGTATTGGCACTATTCAGAAAATCTACATGTCAAATTTGTGTTGGTTTTTAATTTTGGTTAAATATAGAATTTTTAGTTCTGTCTTTTAATAAAACATTTAGCACATTTAAACACAAATAAGGATCTGTATTACAGTCATTGTTTTAAACACAAATTGCTGTTCACTTTCTGATGAAATTTACTTAAAACTGTAGAACCAAATAACTTTACTACTTTTTTGAAGTCTTGCACTGGATATTTTCAAATTATTGACACACATTGGTAGAAGTTTCATAACGAAGATGCTAACTGTGGTGACAGTGGCACTTTTTTCTTTTTAGACTGAGAATTTTCTCTGTGCAATCAAATTATTTCATGTGCATGATTTTTGGAAGATAAAATGTCATAGATCAGACATTGTTTTGTAGTGGTCCATTTTGATCATGTTTCAAAGTTTCTTTTAGTTATCAATGAACCTAGATCAATCAAAGTAATGCAAATGAGATGAAAAATTCCTTGGTCTATGATGCAGAAGACCTTTGATATCAGAGCATTATTTTTTTTATTGTGAAGGATCTTGAAAGGCAGGATAATGGAGATCACCAGTAGTTAGTTCCTAAGTTGTCATTCTTTTACTGTATGTACGGTGCAGCATCATGCCGCTTATTAAATACAAAGCAATTGCTTGCTTTTATGATCACATGGCGCTTCTTTGTATTATGCATATATTTTACATAGCTCAAACATTATTATACATATCAAAGAATACTAGAGCAGCCTTTCCTTATGGTTTTTTGTCCAAATAAATAAATCTAGGTTCTCCAATGTGTAATCTGTTTCATCTTGAAAGTAATAGTCATGTCACTAAATTTAAGAAATGCTTAACTTAAGCGGGGCCATTCTAAGGTTCTTTTCTTCCACAAATTGCTTTTCCCATTGATTGCTTTGATGGAAACAATTACCCATTAAATATCATCACCCTGTCTTCTGCTGTAAAAAGTCTGATTAGATACTGTATATGTTCTTATGTCCATGAACTTCAGCTACTCATGTGCAATTGTCTGTATGGGAATGGAGTAGTGTTCATGATCTGTATTTACGTCATCATATGGATGTATATTTATTAATAAAGTAATTGCTTTAAACACTAAATATTGTGTTTTATCTTTCTTGGCATGGCAGATACCTTCTTGACTAGCCAGCTTAGCAAGTGAATGTAGCAGCTTTTCATTTCCAGGTGCTTTAACTGTTCTTACAGTGATCTCTGGATGCAAAAATTTAAATGAGTCTGCTTCTTTTCTGGTGTGTGTGTGTGTTTTAAATCACTGATCCCCAGAATTAAAGAAAAGGTTCACAGTTACTTTTACGAAAGAAAACAGATTCCCAACTATTGCTACATTCCCCATTAGATGGATAACTGGAATACAACAGTATTAATCTTTTTAAATCAGCCTGTCCTTTACTACCCCCAGGATCTTGATTTTTAAAAAAACATTTTAATTGTTCAGTAAAATTATTTGTTGTAGTCTTTTTTTTGGGGGGGGGGTGAGTACTGTGTGTGTACTTGCGAGCCTGGAAGTCATGGTGACTTCTGGCGACCCCTAGTGGGGCTAGGACATTTCAGAGAGGTGGCATGATATCACCTGCCTCTGCATCCTGGCTCTGGTATTCCTTGGAGGTTGCTCTTCCAAGTACTTGCCAAGGTTGGCCCTGCTTAGCTTCTGAGGTCTGATGAGATTGGGCTTGTTGTAATCTTAGTAGGTTCCTAATGGCTATTTATAACTGGATTGCAGTGAGGGAGTTTCAGATTTTAATTGTTTTGAGGGGTTCCCCCCCAAAAATTTTGTATATTTTTTCAGTGTACATCAATGTACACCTTGTGACTTTACAAGAACATTATTTACAGTTGTATTGAACACTGAGAAAAGGCTATGCATGACTCTATCAAAAAATCTTTCCCTTTTCCCTTAAAATATGGGAATTGTGCAGTTGAGACCCTAAGTGATATCAATATGCGACTGCTGTGAAAAAATACATAGATAGGATTGCAAACTTTTGCTTTGGGGAGTAGGAGCCCCCATAAGGACTCACAAAGCAGGTGAAAGTTTATCAATATATCTAATTTTCAGCATGGAAAAATCTGGATAGTTAAATCTGGAGACTGGAGTAATGAACAGACAAGACAGATCTTTCTACAAGCCTGAGAAAAGTCCCAAGTTTGCAGAAAAATCTGAAATCTGAAAAAACACAAAACACGGGGGGTTAAAAAAATAACAATGCCCATACCTTTAAGAAACAAATGCTATCTGTGGTTGTTAGTAGGCAATAACAACAGTATTGCCAGTTGGAAACTTTAGTTTCTGTCAGTAAAGGCAAGAGGAGGGTTCATCTGGGGCAGGCCCACCAGCAGTCAGTGGGTGACTTGCTACCACCTGACTTGCATGATAACTCCAGGCCTGATTACTTGCTTCTGTTCAACAGCAGCTACCTCACCAAAGTCAGTGTGGTATGCTGGCTAGTGATGCCCGGTCCAAACACCGGTTCTGATGCCACAAGCTTCTGTTCGCAGGGCTTCCCCGAGGCCTGCATTTCAAAGGATATTTGAATAAGGAAGTGCCCCCTGCACCTAAAATAAGGTTTGGACCCCCACACTTCATACACCCCCGTCTTCAGTGGACCCTCACACACACAGGCAGACACCGGGGCCAGACTGCCCCCCCCCAATATTTTTAAATACAGTCCTCGGGGAAGCCTTGCAAACAGAAGCTTGTGGCATCAGAACTGGTGTTTGGACCGGGCACCTTGCAGGGCACAGTCCCCAGAGCGTGGGGATGTGTCATTTGGGGTGGTCCAAATATAGTTTTGGGGGGCAGTCTGGCTCCAGTGTCTGCCTGTGTGTTTGTCCTGGGGGCACCGCACTTTGGAGCAACTGGCACCGGAACCGTGCTTTGGACCAGCACACAGAATGTGTCCCCTCAAAGGGGAGGGTCCGCTGAAGATGGGGGTTTATAAAGTGTGGGGGTCCAAACCTTTTGGGTGCAGGGGGCACTTCCTTATTCAAATCTCTTTTGAAATGCAGGCCTCGGGGAAGCCCTGTGAACAGAAGCTCGTGGCATCAGAACCGGTGTTTGGACCGGGCATCACTGTATGTCACCTTGCAGGGCACAGTCTCCAGAGCATGGGGATGGGTCCTTTGGGGTGGTCCAAAGATTATTTTGGGGTGCAGCCTGGCTCCAGTGTCTGCTTGTGTGATTGTCCTAGGGGCACTGCACTCTGGAGCAGCTGGCACCAGAACTGTGCTTTGGACCAGGATACAGCATACGTCCCCTCGAAGGGGAGAGTCCTGTGAATGTGGGGGTATATGATATGTGGTGGTCCAGACCTTATTTTGGGGTTCAGAGCTTTCCAACTCTCCTTAGTGTTTCTGAATGACTACACAAATAAGTAACGAATAAGGAATGAATAAGGAAGTGCGAATAAGGAACCAACTTCAGCCTCCTTGTTGCCAAATGGTTTTCGTCTCTTCCATCCCTCCTCAGATACCTTCACTGGCGTCCCATCCCTTTCTTGTATGCAGCAGAAATCTTTTGAAATTACCTTTAAAACTTAAGACCATGTCCCACTTTCCTATCAACCAGGTTTTTTGTCTCTTTCTCTGATCTTCAACCCAGTGTGGTATAGTGGTTAGACTATGATCTGGGAGACCCCCGTTTAAATCCTCACTCTGCCATGGAAACTTGCTGGGTGACCTTAAGCGTACCTCACATTATCAGCCTAACCTACCTCATGGGGTTGTTGTGAGGGTTTCATGAAGGAAATGGGAATCATGTAAGCTGTCTTTAGTCCCATTGGGGAGAAAGATGTCTAAAAGAAGTAAATACATAAAATACTACCCATAGCCAACCCAAACTCCTGTTCTCTATCAGGGCTCTACCATTCTCCTTTGCCACTTCCTATACATGGAACTCTTTTTCTGAACAGCTATATGGTGCTAACTCTTCCTGTAAGTCCTTATAACATGCCTCTGGGTCTTTGGCATATCCCTGTTATCCTCATTCCCAACTGCAACTAAGTTTTAAATACATACAGCTGCATTTGTCCGCGTGGATTTCTGCCTCCCCCCGCCATTATTTTATATTGTAAGCTCATTGGGGCAGGGACCAGTCTATCTCAAACAATTCTGTGATAGAGGGCAAAGTTGTAGTATGGATAATTATTTTTAAGAAACCTGAACTCCCCAAATCTTGTGTTTTTTCTGTGGTGCTGATAATTATTGTACAATAAGAGGCTACAGTTAGAAACACCTACAACTCAGGTCCTAACTACTTCCATTGTTTGAGGCCCTACCCATTATCAAATTTTTAAAAGACTATGCATGATGGGCATAAAAACAAGTCGCAAAACTTATCCAATGCCAAAAAAATTAATGTGTCTAAATTTGAGACTCTGTGTGTGTGTGCAAAATATTGGGAGGAGGAGAGAAAATTCCCATGTGGTCATATTCTCTCTACTGCTGTTCATAACATGTATTCCTAACATGGTTGCCTTAACTTGGGGCACAAGCTGGACTGTACAGCAGAGATACATCTTACAACTTTGAAATAAGATTACTTATATTTTCTGTGGAGAAAACAATGGAGTATTTTATATTGCTTGGGGAAAGGTATTCTGTTGCAGGATATTGTAGCAGGGGAGAGGTGGGATGCACCTTATTTGAAGGCATGTTCAGGGAAGGAAACAGTAGCAAATCACTTCACAAAGACTTTGGGGATTCACCAGGAGACAGACCATTGCAGAAATTGATACTAGGATTTTTTTTTTAAAGGTGTAGGAGAAACTAGGTGTAACAGAATGAGGAATGAAAGAGTGCTGCAGTCAGACTGATAACAACGAAAGAAAATCTTAATATTAAAGTATGATGTAGTGTCATGCAATATTAGGTTTGCATAAAAATATCCCTCACTCCTAGCTCATTATATACCATTATACACAGGATCGGTGTTGGGACTGGTACTATTTAATTTATTTATCAATGATCTGGAACTGGGGTGAATGCTGTAGTGCAGTGGCCAAGTTTGCAGATTACATCAATTATTCAGGATGGTGAAAACCAAGGCTGACTGTGAAGAGCTCCGACAGAATTTTCAGAAACTAGGTGAGTGGGCAGCAATGTGGCAAATGAAGTTCAGTGTTGGTAAGTGTAAAGTGACGCACATTGGAACAAAAAATCCCAACTTCAAGTATAGGCTAATGGGGTCTGAACTTGCTGAGACTGAGAGGGGAAAAGATATTGGGGTTGTAGTGGATAATTCAATGAAAGTGCCAACCCAGTGTGCTGCAGCAGTGAAAAAGGCAAATATGTTAGGGTTTATCAGGAAAGTGATTGTGAATAAATGGCCAATATTGTAATGCCCCTGTATAGATCTATGGTGCGACTTCATTTGGAATACTGTGTACAGTTCTAGTCCCTGTATCTCAAAAAGGACATCGCAGAGCTGGGAAAAATAGAGAGGACAACCAAGATGATTAGGGAGTTGGAGCACCTTCCTTATGAGGAAAGGTTGAATAGTCTGGGACTTTTCAGTTTAGAAAAGAGGTGACTAAGGGGGATTGTGATAAAATTATGCATGGGGTGGAGAGAGTGGACAGAGAACTTTTTCTCCTTCCAAAATACTAGAACTTGAGGGCATCCAGTGAAACTGATGAGCAGTGGGTTCAGGATGTACAAAAGGAAATTCTACTTTACAGAGAGTGATTCACATGTGGAATTTGCTGCCAGAGGATGTAGTGATGGCCACAGGAACAAACAGCTTTAAAAGGGGATTAGATAGTCATAGAGGATAAGTCTATCAGTGGTTACTAGCCAAGGTGACTGAGGGGAACCTCCACATTCAGAGACACAAAGCAATCCCGCGCAGGTCTACTCAAAATTCTATGCTGTATCCAATGGGACTTATTCCCAGGAAAGTGGTTTTAGGATTGTGGTGTAAACCCCTGAATCCCAGAGCCAGGAAGCAACATCAGGGGAAGGCCTCAGCATCTATGCCCTGTTGTTGGCTGTCCAGAGGAACTGATTGGCCATTGTGTGAGACAGGATGCTGGATTAGATGGACCATTGGTCCAGCAGGGCTCTTTTGATGTTTTTATGTACTCTGTATTAAGTCCCACTGAACCCACTGAGACAATTCCAAGTAAATAAGCATAGGATTGGACTGTAAATGTCACTGCTACATATTGAATGTTGTTCCTTTATGAAGACGAATGGAGAGAAAAAATGGATTCCTATTGGTAGCATTTTTTTGCCATCCCCAACATGATGTTTAATTGAGGGTGTCCATTTTTTGACCATTTAAAATTAATATTGTCAATTTTCATTCAAAATTTAATTGTTTTTAGGGACTTTGTTCATGTACCTGGGCTATATTGTACCACTCCACTCAGCTAAGTATAGATCTTCCTCCAGTGCAAAGAACTTGTAGCCACTTCCACCAGAAGACTGCTTAGCTGAACCTAGCAGTAGGATTTATCCCAGTGCATCTGTCTCTTAACCTTCGAGCCCTTGTTTCCTTCTTCTGGTTAATTTAAATTCTAGTGACTGTGATAGACCAAATGTCTGATTCAGTATAAGGTACCTTCATATATGAATGTATATGAATGAATTAATGAATGAGAGCCAGTTTGGGGTAGTGGTTAAGAATGCAGACTCTAATCTGGGAGAACCAGGTTTTATTACCCACGTCCACATGCAGCTGCTCGAGTGACCTTGGGTCAGTCACAGTTCTCTCAGAGCTGTTCTCTCACAAGCAGTTCTCAAAGAGCTCTCTCAGCCCCACCTACCTCAAAGTGTGTCTGTTGTGGGGAGAGGAAGGAAAGCAGATTGTAAGCTGCTCTGAGACTCCAAGTGAAGTTTTTTTTTTAAATCTCCTTCACCACTTCTTTTATAATCTCAGCTAGATATAAAATCATATTACCCCAACAATTAACTTAGTGTTGAGGATGCAGACTGATTTCTGTTGTCACAACAATTTGTGAGTTTATTTTTGCTAGTAATCTGTAGCATGCTACCACATCTAAAAATAACCCTCTGATAACAAGCTGCTTTACTCTCATTTACCATTTTTAAGGCATTGGGGTTGAAAGATAAAAATTCAGTGTTTATTAATATCACAGCCCAGCCTGTTCAGCCACACAAAGAGCTGCATTACTATTTGTAACTTGTAACCATGCTGTTGCATGGCTATTGTTTCTAACTCGTGCTGCATGATAAATCAATGGAAATTGCAAGGCAATCTGTTCCCTCAGTATTTAAGTGCCCTTTGCCAGGTGCAGAACTGCTGGCAATAGAACCATACTATGATTTATTCATGTTGAGAGTCTCCAGGACTGTCAGCAAAAACACTTCTCACAACAGTATTATTGTGGCTGAAGAGTAAGCACACAGTCCTAGGAGACCTTTGTAGATAATTTCTCTCTTGCTTTATTAGTAACATTGCTTACATAATGAGGCCATCTGAAGCTTTCCCCTTCACTGTAATACAGGCCAGCTTTCTTATGTTTATACTGTATTTGACCTAAGAGGGTTCGTTTGTTTGGCATGACAAATCTGTCCCACACAGTCTGTAGGACGTAACTTCTTGGTAAGGAGTACTGTAGCCAACATCAGATGCAACATCAAAGCATGTTTCCTAGATCAGTAATCACATTTATAAGTGGTTGGAGTAGGGGTCCCAAGTGTAGCGCCTGTGGGTGCCATGGCACTTACCGACACCTGTCTTGGCACCTGTCAAATGTTTTTAGGAAGTGTGGGTGGGGCTTTTGCCAAACAAGGCTTCTGCTTGGCCATTGGATATTTAACTGTCTGTGAGAATTTATAAAAAAAATTGCTTTGGTAGGAGTTGCCACCACAGCACAAGGATCTTCAGTTTGAAGATAAGCTGTGGCAGCCATTTTGTGACAGCATCCACCATACTCCATCGGAATTCCAGAGGTGCCTGCAGGCTCAAAAAAGTTGGGTACCCCTGAAGTACCCTATTAGACAACTCTGGTTTGAACTCACAATTTCCAGGAATACAGATCTGGATATAAAATGTATTTTATTTTTCATTTTGAAAGGTCAGTGGCTTGTTTTAATACCTGTTTCAGTTTAAAGAATGCTATCCTACTATATTTATTTTTTTAGAATCCACAGCTATATGGTAGAAATTTAACCTACATTTATGGTAAGGGTGAGCCATTAAATAATTATAAAATCTCTCTGGGACTTAAAACACATAACTTCCAAGTGGGATCATATAAATATGATAACACTGTTTGAGGCAGATGGATCCCTTTCTGTGCCATTCCTGGCTTCTATAGCATAAAAGCCTTGTAATGATTGTTACATCTTTTGTCATGGTGGAAATAAAAATAAAACCTACGTTTATTTGGAGCAGATACTTGGTGCATTGCAAACAACATGTGGGTGGCCTGTGTCTACTTCAAACCTCATAAATTTTATATTAAAATATGTTGAAAGTGGGATATTACATGTCTGGTGGATAGATGTAAGAAGTATGCTTCAAGAGAGATTGGTTTCTGGAGGGAGCGGGAACAGAATATGTTTAATGTGCTTACCTAGATGAGTTCAAGCAATAATCTATGGACTGCATTGCAGCAGATAATGGGTAGCTTTTATACATCACTCTCATAAGGTCTAAGTATATGTTAAAATATTGTTTGTTTATATAAACTGGTCTGAGAGATCCCTGGGCTAGCACCCGATTTCTGGCTTCTCACAGATCCCCTGGGAAGTCAGTTGCATATGTAGTCTTTTTGCATTAAAATTTTGTATATATGTAGGGAGAAGTATGCTTTCGTTCTCCGAAGTCTGGAGTCATCCTGTATCTGTAAAAACAAATGTGAGAAGTTGATGGAAACTACAAGCTTTGCTGGCTGCTATGCCATTAAAGGTATTTGACTTTGACGGCTTTTACTGTAAGAGATTTCTATGTGATATACTTGGGATATGGTCTTAAACATTCATTAAAATACTTGAATTGGCTGAATGTTTAGCACATTATACTGGGGAAGTCTTTAGGGTAAACTAACAGTGCAGCCCTAAGCATAGTTACATACTTACATAAGTGCACTCTAGGTCAACATGCTTATACTGGTGTAACTCTTCTTAGGATTGCACTGTATCCTTGGCCATATTGTTCCAGTGTAAGTGGCTACAGCTTCAAAAGTTGGGCCGTGTTTAGTGTCATTTTGAAAGTGAGCATTTTGCAGTCACAGATTATGCAATAGGCATCAACATGGGCAATGTTGTTTAGATATGGCCAGAACTGTAGCAGCCTAATACAAAGAACCAAGGACATAGTATTCCCATAAGTAGCATTCTTAAGAATATATTGGAATTATTTTATTTTTTGCCATCAGTATTATTATTATCAATCTCGAATGGAAAGAAAGGTACTTACCAGTCAGAGGTGATTCTGAGAACAGGGATATATTGTTTGCAAGAGGCAAAGGTGCTCGTTCACAGGTAAAACATATTAAATGTTCCAGGTCCTGTCCTCAGCCTCTCCAGTAAAGAGTGCTTCCCTTTTCCCAGCATCAGCCCTTCTTGCTCAAGTACATCCTAAGCAGTTACACCCTTCTAAGCCCATGGACAAGGATACAACTCTGCTTAAGATGGCACTGTTAGCCCAAGGCTATACTGTATATTAGATGAGAAAGCCAAAAGAGGCGCTATTAAAATATGCTATGAAATTCGCCCCATCAGTATGTTGCAAAAATCTCCAGCACATTTCAACCTCTTCCTCTGAGGAATGTTAAAAACCGACACCTGCTTAGAAAGAGCACACAGCATCTCCCCTTCGTTTCTGCAGAAAGCATTATCAACGCAGTTTTTCAGAAATCACTGTTTCCCGCACAGGAGAAAACCTGCGTTTGCAAGGCCGCGGGGGAAGCGCTCTGCAACCAATGTTTTAAAACTAGCGGAACGGTAGCCGCTTGGGTTTCTCCGTTTGTCGTCTATGGTCCCCAGGATATCCGGTGTACAGCCGGAACGACGGTCAGTCCACAGCTTCTGGTATCTATCGGCAAGTCAGCCAGATTATTTCCTTGTCGTTTCAGAGCCCGGAAGCGGAAAAGAGCGAAGACCTGGAAGCCATTACGGTTGTCTTTTTGCCGGTTGCTTCCGTTCTTCCGTTCCTTGCGCCTTGGCCCCCTCCCTGGTGAGGATGAAGCTCTCGTCCTCGCGCGGGCGGGGGTGGGTCCTTTGGACGGCCTGGCTGCTCGGGAGACTTTTTACAGGTTAGGAGGCCTTGGTTGCCATGGCAGCGCCGCAGGGAAGGGGCGTCCATTCCGGTGCGGGTGGTGGGAGGGAAGTGGTTTTCTCTCCCTCATGTTGCCTGTGCATAGGTGGGCAGTGTTGCCACTCCGGGGACTTTAATCAGGCAGTTTCTCTTCTTGTCCCGAGGCGGGGCCCCGACAGAGGTTCCTTCTGGGATGTCCTCATGCCCCCAAGACCCAGTTCGGATATAGTAGAGAAGCAGACCACATAACTTGACTGATTCCACAGGCCGGGCCCCAGAGTTTTGTTCCCTTACCCTCTTTCAGGAGCCCTGTGAACATCATGGCCCGCTAGTAAGCAAATAGTTTCTGGCAAAACCTCCTGGTGCCTGTTTGGGATTTTTTTTAAAAAAGGCTAGATAGACCTGGTTGTTATCCACCAAGGCCCCTTGTATACTTACATGCTCTTAAGGAAGAATAACTTAGTTAAGAACGTAAGAAAAGCCTTGCTGGATCAGACCAGTGGGCCATCTAGTCCAGCATCCTGTTTCACACAGTGGCTAATCAGTTCCTCTGGATGGCCAACAACAAGGCATAGAGGCTGAGGACTTCCCCTGATGTTGCCTCCTGGCTCTGGGATTAAGAGGATTAAGGCCTCTGAATGTGGAGGTTCCCCTCAGTCGCCATGGCTAGTAGCCTTTGAACATAAGAGAAGCTGTGCTGGATCAGGCCGATGGCCTATCCAGTCCAACACTGTGTCACACAGTGGCCAAAACCCAGATGTCATCAGGAGGTCCACCAGTGGGGCCAGAACTCCAGAAGCCTTCCCACTGTGGCCCTCCAAGCACCAAGAATACAGAGCATCACTGCCCCAGAAATAGTGTTCCATCTATGCCTTGTGGCAGCCAGTGATGGACCTCTGTTCCTTATGTTTATCCAACCCATCTTGAAGCTGTCTATGCTTGTAGCAACCACCACTTCCTGTGGCAGGGAATTCCATGTGTTAATTAGTCTGAATGAAGAAGTCCTTCCTTTTATCTATTCTAAACCTACTGCTCATCAATTTCATTGAGTGCCCACCAGTTCTTGTATTGTGAGAAAGGGAGAAAAGGACTTCTTTCTTGACCTTCTCTATCCCATGTCACTCTCTCTCTATCATGTCACTCCTCAGTCATTGTTTCTCCAAGCTAAAGGGCCCTAACCTCTTTAACCTTCCTTCATAGGGAAAGTGTTCCATCATTTTAGTTGTCCTTTTTTACACCTTTTGCAATGCTATAATATCTTTTTTGAGGTGTGGTAACGAGAACTCTACACAATATTTCAAATGAGGCCACACCATACATTTATACAGGGGTATTATGATAATGGCTGATTTGTTTTCAGTTCCCTTTCTACCAATCCCCAGCATAGCATTTGCCTTTTTTTTTTGCACACTGAGTCTACATTTTCAGTGAGTTATCTACCATGACTCCAAGATCTCTCTCCTGGTTAGTTACCACCAGTTCAGACCAACACTCCCTCTAAGCTGTGGAGTCCTGTGAGCAAAAATTCTACTTTGTGAGCTACTGGCATTAAAGTTGTGAGCAAACAATTTGGCTACTGCATAAATTAGTTTGCTCTGGAGCCAACCCTCCTGAGCTAAAACAAAAATCTGTGAGCTGGAGGATAAAAAATTGTGAGCTAGCTCATACTAACTCAGCTTAGAGGGAACACTGGTTCAGACCCCATCAATGTGTTTATAGTTGGGATATTTTTGCTCCCAATATGCATTACTTTGCACTTGTCCATGTTGAACCTCATTTGCCACATTGATGGCCACTCATCCAGTCCTCCCTGGTTTTTGCCACCCTGAACAATTTTGTGTCATCTGCAAACTGAGCCACTTCACTGCTTACTCCCAACTCCAAATCATTAATGAACAAGTTAAAAAGCACTGGACCTAGTACTGAGCCCTGCCGTACCCCACTCGTTACCACCTTCTACTGTGAAAACTGCCCATTTATACTCACTCTGTTTCCTGTTAATTAACCAGTTTTTAATCCACAAGAGGACTTGTCCCTTTATCCCATGACTACTGAGTTTACTTAGGAGCCTTTGATGAAGAAATTTATCAAAAGCTTTCTGGAAGTCTAGGTAAATAACATCTATTGGGTCACCCTTGTCTACATGCTTGTTCACCCCCCTCAAAGAAATCTAAAAGGTTAGTGAAATATGATCTTCCCTTACAGAATCCATGCTGATTTTTTCTCAGTAGCTTTTGTTCATCAATGTGCCTACTAATTCTATCTTTAATAACGGATTCCACCAAGTTACCCAGTATCAACGTTAGACTGACCAGCCTGAAATTTCCCACATCTCTTCTGGAACCTTTTTTAAAGATGAGAGTTACATTAGCTACCTTCCAGTCCTCAGGAATGGAGGCAGATTTTAGTGATAGATTGCATATTTTTGTCAGGAGATCCACAAGTTCACATTTGAGTTCTTTCAGAACTCTTGGATGCATGCCATCTGGTTTGTCAGTTTTTAATTTGTCCATCAGTTGTAGGACCTCCTCTCTCATCACCTCAATCCAACTCAGGTATTTCAGCAACTCTCCTGAAATTGGCAGTTCTGGAGTGGGCAAGCATCTCCCATCTTCGACAGTGAAGACAGAGGCAAAAAAAAGCATTCAGCTTCTCTTCCATTTCCCTGTCATCCTTTAGTAATCCTTTTACCCCTTGGAGGTTTTCAAACAGTGGCTAGATGGCCATCTGTTGTTGTTGTTCAGTCACACAGTTGAGTCTGACTCTTCGCGACCCCATGGACCAGATCACGCCAGGCCTTCCGGTCTTCTGCCATCCTCTGAAGTTTGCTCAACTTCATGTTCATTGCATCTATAACACTGTCTAACCATCTCATCCTTTGCCGTCCCCGTCTTCTAGATCTTACATTCTAGGTTCCTGTGCAGTATTGTTCTTTGCAGCATCGGACTTTCCTTTCACCATCAGACACATCCACAACTGAGCGTCCTTTCGGCTTTGGCCCAGCCGCTTCACTCTTTCTGGGGTTACTTGTACTTGTCCTCTGCTCTTCCAGATGGCCATCTGACAGCAATGCTAATTCTGTGAATTTAGGCAGATCATAGGAGGGAGGGCAGTAAGGGTTGTATCAGTATTTAGTTCTTGTGGCCCTTTCTTACCCACCGAGGGAAATGCTCATCTCCACTTTGGGATCAGGAAGCAATTTTTCTCCAGGCCAGTTTGGCTGGAGATCCTGAGGTTTTTTGTCATCTGGGCATGGAACAGCAGTCACTGGGAGTGTGGAGAGGGGGAAGTATTTGTGAATGTCTTGCATTGTGCAGGGGGTTGAACTAGATGACCCTCGAAGTCCCTTCCACCTCTAATTCTATGGTACTGCCTCTCTGGCTGGTTTCCTGCTACTAATGTATTTGAAGAATTTTTTATTATTGGTCTTTATGTTTTTTTGCAATATGTTCCTCATAATCCCCTTTTGCCTGTCTGATCACTGACTTGCATTTAATTTGCCATATCTTAAGAGTTCCTGAATATTTTTTTGCAATGGCTGCTGGGTCAACAGTATCACATGAAGCTACTGTATATTAAGTCAGACCCTTCGTCTGTCAGAATCAGTATGGTTTACTATGATTGGCAGTGAAAATCCAGGGTTTCAGGCTGAGAGATATTCCGCATGATCTGCTGCCTGATACTTTTAACATGATATGCTGAGGATTGAACCTGGGATTTTTGCATGCCAAACAGATGCTCTAGCACTGAGCCACAGCCTCACCCAGTGTTGAATGTTTTTTAACAGATTATTGTTACAATTTTGTTTTATAAGGGCAGGGAATACCAGAATGTGTTCACCACACTGAATGGTTTTGTTGTCATGGAAAATTGAGTTTACTGTGTGTTGCAGTGAATGGTAGATTCAAACCAGTTTTGCATTGCTGAGCTAATGGCTCACACTTATACCCTGGGTTATCCTAAAGAGAATAGATAAAAGCATTTAAATATTGTGATGCTTTTTCTCTAACAAATCTCCTTAGATTTTCTTGTGAATAACATCAGAAGGTCAAATAAGATGAAACACACATACTGGTGCCTTATACCAAGTCCAGATTGTATTTATCTCAGCACTGTCTACTCTGCCAGTGGCTCTTCAAGGTGATGCTGGCAGAGAGAAAAATCTTTTCTATTGGTGGCAACCTGAGATCTTAACTAGAGAGGGCAAGGATCAGTCTGGGATCTTTTGCAAGCAAAACATGTACTCTGCCACTAGAACACACAGCCTCTTGCTTTAACTTAAGTGGTGGTAGAGATACTACAACTATGTGAATGAGCACTTGCTCCACAGAGGTGAAGGTAGATGATGAGGTTGTACTGGTGTTGTTGAATAATACTAAAATCCTTGTTTCTGTTTTTTTAGTAGGAGCAACTGAAACAGATGATCTGTCTGAAAAGCTGAGTGAAACTACTGTGCCATTTACTATAGAAAGCAGTTCTGCTTATGTGAGCAGTGACAAACCTAAGGAGTCTATACAGTACAGGACTGCAGAAATTGCAGATGCTATGATGGGTAGTGGCATTCCTGAAGGACAGCCTGTACTTTTGTCAGTTATTCCAGGTGAGACAAAAGAGAGACATGTCTCAGAATCTGATTCTGGTACCTGTGATGCAATCAATGGTGAATGCAGCACTGAAGGTGTTATTGCATCTCTGTCTCAGCCTGGCTCTTCTGCTCAAGAGCGAATAAGAGACACAGCTGTAGTACTGGAGGCTGTGCATCCATCAACAGACGATTCTAATAGCACAGATGGTATGAAAACACCTAAAGTGAATTGTGAAGAAAGAAACATTACAGGGATAACAAACTTTACACTACAAATCCTGAATATTTCCCAAGTAAGTACAAACATTATTTTTTATGTCTGCTTTTCTCTTAAATGAGTCATCCAGTTTTATTTTATGAATACTGGGTTTGCTTTGTTTTCTTCAGGGGGTTTTCTTGTTGCCATTCCAGAAGTTACAGCTTGTGTTCTGACTGATGTAACTGAGCAAATCTATTGGAGGGCAGAAGAATCATGTTATATATTCTCCATATTAGGTTTTTAAACCCAACAGATTTCTTCAATCTGGTGGGTAGCCATGTTAGTCTGTAGAAGCAGAACACATTTTGAGTCCAGTAGTATCTGATGAATTCATGAAAGCTTATTCCCTGGAAAATGTTGTTGGTCTTTAAGGTGCTACTGGACTTGAATGTAGGTTTCTTGCAGTGTCTTGTACCTCTCCCTTGCGTCACTTTGAACAAGTGTTCCATATTTAATTAGGAATCTACTGTTTTTCATTGAGGTTATGTTCAACCGGAAGCTCCTTGAAACTTTCTTATTAGACATTGTATGATAAAGCATGATACTTTGAAACTAGAAGTAAACTTGGGGGGAAAGTTTCACTGCATCAGAGGCTAAGCTAATGTAGCACAGCGAGCTGAAATCTTTGACTCTGCCATAAATTCAACCTTTTGTTGCAGTGTAAGGATAATACTGACCCACTTGATGGCATTGTTGGAAGTATGACTGAAATAATGTGTGAAGTGCCTGCATCTACTGAAGTGCCATGAAAATATTAAAAATTATGTATTGCTTGTTTTTTTTAAAAAAGTGCTTTCTCTGAAGCTCTTAGTATTGTCCACTTTTGTTCTTAAGATGTGCATCATTAATCCAGGATAGTATGTTGGATCATGATTATAATTCCTGCTCCCTCGTGCAAAAGTGGGGTTGTTGGGGGGGGGGGGGGTGGCCAGTTTCCCCCTTTCCACTGCAGGCCTCTTATTTGTCCCCTTATGCTTTTCCGAGGATTTCCTGGTCCCCTGGGAGCATTTTGGGGACACCAGTGTGCTGCAGTAGGAGGCAAGAGGCAGGGAAATTCTGTTCTACTAACAGACGTAAAAATTATTGTTGGAATCCATCCCAATAGGTTTGGATGTCATGATTTGAAAAGACTCCTATTCCATTTTGCTATTTCCCTGTCTGCTCTCTGTCTTTTAAAAATAATGTGCTTTGCATTTTTTTCCTGGGTTAAACTTCCTGCTTTCTTTCTGTTTTTTATACTGGCCTGACAGCAGGGGAACTTCTGCTCACTTGATAGTATCCCACTGTATATGAATGGGTATTGTATTAGTAGACTTTGGCAGCAAGGCACATTCGTACCTTATAACTTAGTAGGATCTAGATTTCCACTTATGAAGTTTATAAAGTGTCCCTTAATGTCACTTAAATGTTCTTTATAGCTGATAGACTTTTTTCTAAAAATGCTAATACATTAAAACAAGTAAACCCTAGTTTGTAGGGTGGGAGAGAATAGGCAATGCTGATCCTTTTCAAGATAATAGATTGGTTGTTAATTAAAAAAAATCCTGAATTTCTTAATAAAGTGCTAACACATCACTGTGGACTGGAAGCAAGACTCTTGTTGACATACAATGTCCTTCTCAAGAATTAATTTGATTCATAATGGCAATTGGGTGTTTAATTTTTTTTTTGTTTCATCATAGGATTTAATGGAATTCTTAAATCCAAATGGCAGTGACTGTACCTTAGTGCTGTTTTATACCCCTTGGTGCCGTTTCTCTGCCAATTTGGCTCCCCATTTTAATTCTTTGCCCAGAGCATTCCCAACTCTTCATTTCCTGGCCTTGGATGCCTCACAACATAGCAGGTAACTTCTTGTTTTCCTGTCTTTTCAGAACTTGTTTGCTATTGTTTTTGCTATTCGCTTTTTATATTAATGAACATATATATTTTAGCACACATTGACAGAATATGTGGAGGCAGAAAACACCTTATGTCCTTCAGTTTATGGTTTTACTGAAGAGGTTTCTGTCCTTTGAATAGTTGTCAGTCTCTAAACATGTTCTTCACAATATAGGTTGTTTAATGCTGAGTAGAAATTCAGTAATGTGCACCAATGGTGCTTTCTTGCCCATTTCATCTTATACCATGCAATTTCGTTAGCACATATTAGAGTTTAAAATAGAAGTGACCAATGTAAAATAAATGTTCTTGCCAACTGCACTGCTCTGTTACCACCCTGTTAAAGTCACATAATATTTAAATAAAAGCTGTTATTTTGGTATGGGGTTAAAGGAGACCTTGATTCTCTAAAGTTGATTCTCCTCCTGTAATCCTGTTCCTTCACAGTTTGTCAACCAGATTTGGAACTGTAGCTGTTCCTAACATCCTTCTTTTCCAAGGGGCTAAGCCTATGGCAAGGTTTAACCATACAGATCGAACCTTGGATACACTGAAAGCTTTCATCTTTAATCAGACAGGTATGATTGTTGTTATATTCAGATGGGTAGCCATGTTGGTCTGAAGCAGCAGAACAAAATTTGAGTCCAATGGCACCTTTAAGACCAACAAAATTTTATTCAAGGTATAAGCTTTTGTGTGCAAGCACACTTCTTCAGATACAGTGAAAAGTTTTGGTCTGCTGTTACATTGTTATCCTATCTTTACTTCAGGCTCAGTGTAGTCAACATGAATCTATCAACATTTTATCCACGCTTCAACTCTGTGAGGCAGACTAGGCTGAGAGAGGAAGTGACTGGTCTAAGGCCAACCAATAAACTTCATGGTCCCAATACACTTCATATCAGAGTGGGAATTCAAACTTGGGTGTTCTCAGGTGTGCTTCAACACTGGAACCACAATTGTCCATTACTTCTAATGTTTGTTGTATTTAACAGAGAGCTGTAAAGTTCACAACATGCCAAGTTCCATTTAGGCTTAGATTTGTTTGTTTTATGATCACAAGAAACCATGATGCATCGGTGTGGAAGCTGTCTTCTGGCTTGTTCAAGAGATGTGAGATTTTGGGGGAAGCCAGAGTGAGATTGCAGTCCTGTGTCATTTTTTGGGGAATAAGGGCCACTGAACACAGTGGGACATTTCTGAGAAAATGCATATAGGATCAGGCAGAGACAGCTTAGGCATCTAAAAGCTCATGTGGTAGTAAGCGTTAGGAATGTCTCGTATATGTCCCTGTGGATTGCAAATATGGCTTCTTCCACTAATTTGGAGGAGGTTAACTATTACCAGGAGGAGGATAACTGTTACCAGTTATCCCTTTTCTCTTATGCATATTTTGATTCTGTTTTTCAATCAAAAAATAGCATCCAAAGCACTTGTGAGAATTAGAAGACAATAGAAACAACACACTTAGAAACCCTTGGGGATGGGATTCTCAGTTGAGTTGGATCCAGGAAAGGTGTCAGACAATTTCTTGCCCTCCTGATGGTTCAACTGTTTGCAGTTGGAAGCTGGAGAGAGGAACCTTAGTTGGTTCTTGGCATGACTAAGCGGGTTTCTGACTGCTTACTACCTTTCTCCTTATGGCCTTAATCTCCAGCATGAGAAATAAATTTATCTCTAGCACTTGTGGATGGAATAGTTGACAAAGTTCTGAAGATAAAAACAGACTTACTTATATTCTGGTCTCTTTCACTGCCTCATGAAAGAGAGGGGAAAATAATGTATTTCCTATCTGGGTGGGTCTTCAGGTCTTTATTATTAAGGCTAAACTAGTTCCTATCTTTATTAAGGCTAAGCAAGACTGGAGAAACTTGCTTGTTTGCTATTTTTTGGTGTTTGCCTGGAAAGTTGAAGAAAATACAATTGATTTCATAACATTTTATGCAGAAGCTATTATAAGTGTAGGAAGTATATTTGATATTTCAAGCTTATTGATGCATTTATTGGGAAAAGAACAAGCAATCGTGGACCCACCAGTAAATTACCCACACAGCCGGCGTATCCATCCATGATGCAGAGTTACTTCCTTTCCTTCTTCTGCAGGCCAGAAGGCCCCTTCCCCAGATACTGCTCCTGGGGAATGGGGTTCCCAAGAACTTGCAGGGGAAATGACAAAAATCCCCCCCCTCTACTATCTGTAGAAATCTTTTGGTGGATTCAGGCCGTACTCCACAAATTTCAGTCTAAATGTGTGTGTGTGTGTGTGTGTGTGTGTGTGTATCTTTCAATTGAATGCAACAGCTTCATGCATCTGATAGAGTGGCTCTGGCCCCTAAAAGCATATAACAATAAATTCATAAGTATTTAAGGTAGCATAACACATATTCTTAGATATTTATAGTGATATTATAGAAAATATGATCATATCTCCAATTTAGATCTTTACATAGCTGCCACAATACCTTATTGCTTTGTCTTCATAAGACTAGCAAAGTTAACCTTCCGGGATCTGTTCCCCTAACTGTAAAATCAATGCCCAGGCCAAACCACTGGACCTAGAGACACCAAATTTGGGGAGAGCGCTCCTACCATGGCATAGGTGCTCGCTAAGAAGGGATTTTTAGAAATTCGGTAAAAAGGGGGGGAATGTACTTCCCCCATTGATTCCTATGTGGCTGCCAGGCAGCTGCCTCACTGCACCCCCCACTCTGATTGGTCCGCTGCAGAGCTCAGTGTTCTGAGGTTAAAAAAACCCCAACCGTTACAGGGGACTGCAGACAGCTAATGACAGTTGAGGAAATCAGGAGTGGCCAACAACCACCTGTGAGGTGAAGCAAAGCTGCGGGCCCAGCCTCTCTGATGGCTTCCAACACACTCCCCCCACCTCCTACACCTAACAGGCGGTTGTCTGTCGTGTGCAGCCCCACCTCCAAAGTGGCTTCTAATACTCCTCCCCTCTCCCCCTCCTACACTGGCAAAGCAGCTGCCTGTCAGGTGTAGGAGAGGAGGTGGGATGCTTACAGCCACCAGGGAGGTTTCCTCAGCAGGATTGCCTTAGCACTGCTGCTGGCCCAGCCTCCCCGATGCCTTTAAATACAATCCCCCCCAACACCAGACAGGCCGGTGTCTGTAGGTGCAGGGCCAGGGTAGGAATGTTTATGGGGAGATAGTAAAGAACATTTCTAGGAGCTATTTCGATGCGTGCCTCCCTCATGAACCTGAAGAAATGTCCACCACATCACAATTCCCTCACACCAACTCCCCCTCACACCACTCACCTCTTACTGCCCCCAAGAAAGCTCCTGGCAAACGTCGAGCCAGATACACCAACACTACAAGGAGGAGGCAACTTAGGAATGCAGCAAAGACATTTGCACTGCATTGAGCTGTGCAGGCCAAGTACCAGCAAGATCACCCTGACGTGCTCAGAACAACACAGTCTCCATATGAGCAAAACAATCCAGGAACACAAGTAGAGAGGCCATCACTTTCGTGGAAGGTAGCAGGAGCTGACTTAACAGACGACTGCTTCTTAAACGGACAGTTCTATGTTGCCTGCTCCAGAGTGAGCTCATCAAGCAGCCTGGTGATCCTAGCACCTGAGGGCCGAACCGCCAATGTGGTCTAGAGAGAGGTCCTCCAGTAGAGAAAAAAAGGACGTGTCTCACTTCATTTCTTAACTACAATCTTCTCTGTTAGAATTCCTACAACAAATGTCACATTTCAGATTTCACATCATCAGTATTATAACTGGGTTTACGGAACTTAAATACCGTAGCGAAGCATGGGTATCAGGCTACTATAGAATAAAGGTCAGATATTTGAGAGCCACAAGACATAAATATCACACACGTTTTCATTGAAAAATATACAGATTTGTTTTTATCAACATTAAATGAAACTGCCAAATATAAAAACAAAAGGGGTAAAAACAGATATTGATAATGATATTTATTTGTCCAGTGATATTTGTTTGCTAATGATATTTGTTTGAGAGAGAGAGAGAATGAAAGAGGTGGAAAGGAAGATGGGGAGGGGGAAGGGAGAGAGAGAGAGAGGAGGGAAGGAAGAGAGAAAAAGAAAGAAAGGTGGAAAGAAAGCAAGTAGATGGGGAGGGAGGGAGGAGAAAGAGAAAAAACAAGAAAGCAAATAGATGGGGGAGGAGGGAGGGGAAGGAAGGAAGAGAGAAAGAGAGAGAAATAAAGCAAATAGATGGGGTGAGGAAGGGAGAGGTGGAAAGAAAGCAACTTTAACTTTAAATGTGTCCTTCAAGCTCCGCCCCCCCAGCCATCTGGCTTCCACTGGAAAAGGGATTTAAAAAGACAGATGCTTTCTCCAAGCCAGCTGGTGGGGGGGGGGGGGGACTTTGAGAAGGCATTTAAAGTAAAAGTTGCTTTCTTTCTCTGCTTCCCCCCCCACACCTCAAGCCTACCCAGGGAGGGGAACACTGGCTGGGGAAGGGAAGACCATTCACTTCCCCAGATGCCCTGCTGGGAGCCACACAATATGTGTGAAAGAACCGCGTGTGGCTCCCAAGCCACAGTTTGGCCAGGCCTGGGCTAGACAATCAATAACAATTGTATAATTGTTGTATACAAAGCTGGAGTGATGTCAGGGTAGGTGCTAAATAATGAAATTGTGTAAGTCTAAATGCAAAAAAGAGATACTTGCATGCAAACACCAGTAGTACCATTTCTTTGTTTAATCTCTGATTAAGTTTGTAAGTGGCTGTTTCTTTCAGGAATAGAGCCCAAGACTGATGTGGTGGTCACTGAAGAAGATCAAGAAGGTCCCCTGCCTAGCACTCTGACTAAAGGAATAGACTGGCTTCTCTTATTTTCTTTACTGTTTCTTATCAGTTTCATCATGTATGCTACCGTTCGGACTGAAAGCATCCGGTGGCTAATACCTGGTCATGATCAGGAGCATCAGGAATAATATGCAACCTGAGAACTTTATGCTTCAAGAACAAGTTAAATATCATAAAATTGTACAGTGGATTTACTGTGATTTCTTGTGAATGCAAGCCTTATACTATTCCTCACTTGTTCAAAAGCACAGAACATCACACAACCAAAAATTACGTATGGAGTAACTATGAAAAGATATAAATGGAAACTTTTCTTAATAAAGTAAAAATGAGAGGATGTTCTACAGACAATTCCCTGTGCCTGTTGTAGGTTTCTCATATTTCCCATTTTTAAAAGGAAAATCATGATTTATCTGGTGTTGTTTGACCTCTGGTGAACGGATTGCTGCTTTTTATGGTAGAACACTATGAAATTTCTGTGCCTTGCAAAGCAGCTGCAGGTGCATGTTTATGATGTAAAGGTTTGAAATATAGGTCATGGAAAGCTCCCTGACTGATTTGTCACTGATTTTGCATCTCAAATGCTCAGAGTATATACACACACACACACACCCCATGCAAGTAAGAGCTAAGTTTGGGTACAGTCTTAATAGTAGCATTTGGACCTGGGAGTAATTGATACGGTCATATTTATGGTGCCTAAATAATAACATTATAATGTTGCTGTTAAGGCATCAGAACTTTGAGAGTTTCAGTAATAGCTGACATGACAACATGACATTCATTCATGTACTGAAGTTGTAATATGTTTAGCCTTTTAAAATTGCAAGAAAGGACATGATTAAACAATTTAATGTTTAGCAATTTTAGATACAGCTTTCAGCATGGGTGTAAACTTGTACAGCATTGTGGTTCTTTATTGTCTTGATGTTGTGTTTTGACTAGTGTTTACATGTAAGGCAACAGAAAACAAGATGGCTGATACAGAGCATCAGTAGGAAGAGAGTATCAGTATGGTTATATTAAATCCGGGAGAGTTATACATTTTGTAGCATTTTAGAGATTTATCACAATAAACTAATTAATGTCAAAGTGCTACAGCTTTTTTGTTCTGCTTCTCTTCATTGGTGTCCTATGGTTGACTACAGAATGAAACAAGGACAGTCCAGTGAGACACAAATTACATTCTAATTTGGCAGGGACTTGTCCCGATTTGTTGTTCATATCTGGGATACTGAGAGGACTACAGGCGGGCTAAAGGTAAGACCCCGTGTACAAGTATTACAGACCACTTGTATTCTCCAGCACAAAGCAACTAGTAGAGTGCTTGGGAAGGGTAAAGAGGGATTTTTGTTGTTTTAAGCAGTAATGGGGGGGTGGGGGGGGGAGGGGATTACTACCTGTGTTACCTCCTGCAGTGACCCAAGGGCAGAATGTGTTTAAATCTTTTGTGGGCTTCTTTATTCAGGTGCTGCTGTTGGGGAAGTGAAATGGAAATTATTTAGCGATGTTTTGGGTGGGAGGGAATGAAAACCATTAAATTGTGAGGATAGTAGGTATGTACGGACTGACTCCCTAACTGAGGTGAGAAAGGAACGCGGCAGTCTTGTTTCTGTAGGGCACTTCCTTGGTGTGAAGCTGTTAAGGTGGTGTGTTGAAGGGGGGGGGTCCTCCCCAGCGAAGACCTTATGAATGGTTATGGATAACCGGGCAAAACCGCAGGACTCGCCGTTCCCAACCAAGAGTCCTGACTCAGGCATCTTGGATCACCACGGCGGGCGGACGCAGCCTCGGTTCCTCCCCCCGCCTGCTACAGCCAGGTCTTAAGTCTCATAAAAAGCGCGGGCTTCAGCGCGTCTGGTACCGCCTCTCCGCGACGCAGATTCAGTGGGTAAGAGGGGCGGGAACCAGCCTTGAAGCCTCTCCCTCGTGGCAGCGGCGGCGCAGGCGCTTGGCGGCCGGAGGGGGCGGGGGTCCAAGCTAAAGTCCATGACAGGCGGTGCGCGGTTGAGGTGCCTGTGGCTGCTCCGGGTGGGACCGGCGGCTGTGGCACGACGGGGCAGCAGCAGGAGCACGTTCGCCGCTATGGTGAGAGGCTGGGCGGGAACTAGGGAAGGAGCCGCCCCGAACCGGGGGCGCCACCAAATAGCGGGAATCTCTACTCTCCATACACAGACTGGTGTCCCACTGGTCTTTACTTGTTTTCATTCATTCGTACTGGGGCAGTAGGTTGCGGCAGGCGCCATTTCAGATCCTTGTTTACAAAAATTTTCACGCACAGACAGGTTTCGAAATCCGGATTGTGCATTTCCCACGTAACACTCAGCTACAGTTCAACACTGGTTGTCTTCCGCTTCACAGCGAGGTTCTGGGCACTTCCGTTTTCTCATTTATTTATTTTGTTTATTTCATCTATGCCCTATCCTCGCTGAAATACAAGGCAAGGTAACAAAAGCAGCAGAAGGCATCCAATAAACGATGCATTAGGAGGACTAGGATTTACAAACGCGGGTTTGGACTGTACCTAGAATGCTTCCCAAGAGACGAGGGGGGAAGTATGCTAGAAAAAACTAGCCTGTCTGGGAGAAGGCTGTGCTTGACCTCTGTAATAACTCATTTTCTTTATGAAACTGCATTACACAAACAATTAGGCAGTCGATAAAGATAGATTCGGGTGGGTAGCAGTGTTGGTCTGAAGAACAAAGCTTGAGTCCAGCGGCACCTGTAAGACCAACGAAGTTTAATTCTGGGAATAGGCTTGAGGAAATCTGTTTCAATGTATCTGAAGAAGTGTGCATGCACACCAAAGCTTATACCCAGAATTAAACTTTGTTGGCCTTAAAGGTGCCACCGGACTCAAACCTGATTCAGACCAACGTGGCTATCCACCTGAATCATCAATTGCCTAATAGTTTGTGTAACACAGTTTCATAAAGAAGACTAATATAAGCTGGGTATAAGCTTGAGGAAATCTGTTTCAAAGTATCTGAAGAAGTGTGCTTGCACACCAAAGCTTATACCCAGAATTAAACTTTGTTGGTCTTAAAGGTGCCACCGGACTCAAACTTTGTTCTATTAGGCAATTGGGCATTTTGTGGAGAAATTATTTTGTATGGAGGAGCAGTCAGTTTTTATTTGCAATCAGGTAGTATAGCTCAGGCACGTTTGCTGCAAGCTAGGTCTCACACAGTTTAAGGATTCATACGTTCCACATTTGTGTCACTCACACTGCAGATCTATGCTGAATAGAAATCATTGGTTTTAGAATGGAATAACTCCACAGGATCATGCTTTTGGTTTCTGAACATCTATTGATTTATGTACGGTATGTCCTGCTTTTCTTCCCAGATGGGAACACAAAGCCGTTTACAGCTCCTGCATTTTGTCCTTACAGCAACAACACTATAGGGCAGGTTAGGCTGAGAGCCAGGGATTGTTCCTGTGTCATCCAGCAAGCTTCCATGGTAAAGTTGGAATATGAATCTGAGTCTCAAAAGGGCTTAGTCAGACATTCTGAGTACTACGCCACACTGGCTCTCTTACTCCAGAAGAAAGTACAACCTTCAGCAGAACAAATTGAATAAAGAAGCTATTGGTTAAAGTTAAGATCACTTTTTAATTAAATTTGTTAACAAATCAATGTAGTATAACTATTATTTTATTCTTAAACCAGTTGTGTTATTTATCCTAAAACCAATAAACCACACTGTACTTCCAAAACTATTGTTCCAGAATAGTAATAGTGTTGCAGCAAAATTTTTCACTTATTTTTATGTATGTTATTCAAGACTAACAAAGTTTTATTCCAGCAAATGTTTCTCTGGACTAGAGCTCACTTCTTCAGATGTTGTTAACTGCCTTAGCAACACTTGGGACTGTTAGGTAGTTTCCCCCCTAATATTTCCTATATGGTCTGTCTACATTGTTTCTGAGTCACTGCATTGCATCTGAAGAAGTAGATTCTAGTTCACAATAATTTTTGCTGTGATAAAATTAGAGAACTGCCATTGTTTAAAAAACTTGTGTAATTCTGCAAGAGATTCGTGACTTTAGTACTACTGTGTAAGATTTTATTTTATTCTAGTGATATTCTACACACTGTAAAACATTCAGAGAGTTAATAAATAGAAGGGCAGATCAAGCATCATCAGCTTTGTAAGTAGAGGTCCATGTTCACTTTGTGAATAATTTAAACATATGCACATATGAGAGGTAGTGGGATTAAACATGCTGTCCTCCAGTTGTTCTCTTGGTATGACCCCCTCCACCCCTCCATAACAGAGGATAAATGTTTCAGATGGTTAGTGTGGTGCTTGCTGTTGGATATAGAATTCTGTGTTCTGAGAACTTCAACTTTCACGTGATTGCAAAAATGGGCTTGAAAATGTATGACCAATTGTTCGTGAAATCCCAGAAGCCAGACACAGGGTTGAACAGAATCTCCAAGTATCAAGTAATGGGCATCTGTGGTCTGCCTAACCCCATGATATGACCCTTCTCCAATTGCTTGCAAAATAGTCTAGGCAAAATAATGATGTTGTTATCCCTATCCAGAGTATAACAATTCTAGGTGTGAAGTTTGCTTCATTTTTTAAAAGTCTGGGATGTATGAAGCACACAGTAATGTGAGAGCTTTCATTTCAAGTGTTCTGTGAGTTTAGGTTGAGCATTTTTACCTCTTGTTTCTTTTTTTGACAGGCCTTCAGTATCCACAGAGCCTGAAAATTATTCTGGAAAGAAATGTCAGAAGTGAACACAGTCACTATGGTTACATATTGTTTGCTTTGAGCTGGTGTAAACGATCTCAATGCTAGCCATTTAGTCTAAGGTGGTTGGTGGAATCTGCAATGGGCACTTGTCTCAAGGATTGAGAAGGCACTTTTCTGTGGCTCATAGGATTTTTCTAGGAACTAGAGAATCCCAACTTTTAGTTTTCTATTTTTCTTGTAATTCTTCTTATGACAATTTATGGTTTTCCTAGCAAGCAGTTTGCTTTGCTAAACAAATCCCAAACTAAGTACATACAACTATAATATTTCTTAATAAAAAACTTTTTCTTTAGAAATAATACCAATCTTCTAATTAGTAAAGCTCAGATTTCTTGGAGGTTAAAAGGGATTTTAGTTTTCAGTATTAATTGCAGTGTGAATCTTTTGGGTCAGTTTTATAGGTGTTTCATTCTTTATTCTGTCACTGACTTGAATCAATCCGCCTTGGGTTTTCTGTAAAGGGGCAAAATGCTATTTACCTATTTCACAGGGTAGTTTACCGGTGGCTTCCACAAATACATGGAGAGCCAGTTACTCAGTGACTTTAAAACAAACATTGCTAGTATGGCCAAGTTTTCCTGATGTGGTTTTCCTCTACAAAACCACTGGAAAGGGAAGTAGAAATGTATAACAGGCAAAGCAAATAATATCTGGACATTGAAATGTCAATACTGGACGAATGAGTGAAATAGTCATGCTTGATTCCTGATTTAGTGATTGTATCCTACCATATGATTGGTTTCTTAATAGCTAGTAAATAAAAGCAGAGCTGTTTGAAATCATCCAGGAATCCCAGAGTATGGCATCATTCTATCACCTATGTCAGAGGATAGTGTACCATTATAAATTGTGTTCAGAGGATGGAGATCACTTATTTGACATGTGTGCCCTTTGGTTCAGGCACCAACAAAACATCTAAAGCTTGTCAGCTAGGCTGAAAAATCATGGCCTGTGCTTCTCCCCTCCCCCTCCAGTTTATCCCCAGTTTCTTTATCTTTGCTCCCCCCTCCCTGAAGAAAGCTTGAACTGTATTGAACTAAAACTGTATACTATATATCTTTGGATATGAGGCAGGAAATATAATTCGTAGGATACATCTAAATTGGCGGAACTCTTGCTGATTTATGAAGCATTGATCATTCTATGCTAAATTTCACTGCCATGTTGAGCTGTGTGAGGAAAATAACTGAAAATATAATTGTGGAATATCTCCGTTTCTCCTAAATTATATACTGTTGCAAGCAAATAATTGGTCGCACTAACTGAAGGGCTGTGGGTGTTGTACAACTATTTTAAAGGTTTTGAATAAATTGGAATAGTGATTCAGCTTTGAAATAGTGCCATCTGGTGGTTGAGATTGACCTTTGGACATCTAAGAACTACAGTTGCCCAATTATGTAGCATTCAAGTTCCAAAAATAGGCCATTAAATGACTGAACAGTTGTATCTTTAGTTACTAAAATGTTTAACTTGCTTTTCAATAGAAAAGTTACTTTTTAACTACCAGTGTACCCAAAAGATTTGTCAGAGTTATCCTTTCAGGGGCAAGTGAGAAATTCTTAATTGGAAGGGCTTCTATTTATTGTCAGTAAACTCCAAGTGTATTTATAATGAAATGCTAAATAATAAATCAGAAATCATGTTGCAATGAGTTTTAATTGTAGTCTGAGCAAAACTTTCTGGCTATCCCATCAAGAAACTTCCAGGTAGAATTTATGACATTACTTCAACTCTTCCCTTCTCCAAATCTTTGTGTATTCTTTGCTACCAAAATATAGCTCAGAGTACAATGTTTGTCAGTGTCTTCACTAATACTTGCATCAGCTATAGTGAGTTCTCCAAGCACTGTGTAGTCTGCAAAGATCTACGGATTTTCCATATGGATTTAGTACTCAGCCCAAGTGCTGTACTGATTTTGCAGTTGGACATCTATAGTAACAATATTTTGGTCTAAAATATAATACATTTTGATCAGTATCAAAGGAAGAGTGTAATACAGATTTGGAAGGAATATATATTAGAAGTAGAAATTGGCCCCCATTTAGCAGTTTTTTGTATTTTAAGCTCATTCAATATTAAAGGAAATAGGACCTTCCAAGTAAAATTATTGTGCTAAAGCACCTGTGAATTGGGAATCTTACTGTTAATTCAGTTGATTTGTGTTTCACAAACATGATCTGAGAACTGAATTGGTCAGTCTTTTAGGTATAAAGTCATTTTCACCTTTATTAGTAGTGGTGTATGTGCACTTGTAGGTTAAGCTGGATATGCTTTTATTGCCAGAGATAAACATCTGGAATGGAAACTATGGTAGGCACTTATAGCAACATCAGTATATATTTCTGAGGTATGTTATATTTTTATGGACTGGAATTCACTTTGAAAAATGTATGGTAATCTTGTGAGAAAGTGTGGTGTTGTGATAAGTAAATATTGTATGTGTTTTATTTCTGTTTTTAATATGTTTACCCTGTTTTACTTCTAAATAAACTCATAAACTCTATTTATGTTTATGTTTAAGTGAACACAACTGTTTTATTTAAGAGTGAAGGATTTCCTTTTACCTCAGCCACCCCAACATGCTGACCATTTGGTCATTCTACCAAATATAACTAAGTCATCCTGTTCTTTGGGTCCAGCTAAGAACTCTAAGGCAAGAGACTGCTGGCAGTGAAAATAAGTAGGAAATGCTAAAGAATGCAAGGAGACACCATAGCACCCATCATTTCAGGTTTTATATATAAGGTTTCTCAGCGAAAAGAGCAATATGTTACAGTGATAATGCAGTCAGCCATGACTTCCAGGTGCATACGCACTCACACACACACACACACACACACACACACACACACACACACACACACACACATGCACATATGAAAAGTAGGAAAAAACCCTCCCCCATTCTATTGATTTCAGTGAAAGAGAATTAAGCACTCATTTCACTCTCTTGTGGAATGAGTGGGATTTAAGTGTTTGACATTCATAGGCTGCGGTCACACGGAGCATTAGGCACGCTAGAGAGATGGAAGATAGGCAGATTTTCCGGGCGCGATCTCACCGCCACATCTGGGAAGCGTAGAGCTCCCGTGCCGAACCTGAGGCTTCCCGCCGAAGATGCGCGGTTAAAAACTAGTACCTTGGAGGTACTAGTTTCCGGTAACCGCGGGGCAAGGGCGGGTGTCTGATCGCGTTTCCGGTGGTAGTTCCGGCGCCCACCCATGTCCCCTCGTATAAAGGTTTTTTTTCCCCAACTGTCCATGGGATGCGCACAAGCACCCAACGGGGCATGTGCATACTTTGGTGTCCGGAGAAGAAAACACCCGTTTGCCGCGCCGCTTCTTTGCCGCGGCGCAGGATTGTTGTATGCTCGGCTCCTCCCCCCTACCACGGGACCTCCATGGGACCTCCACGGTACGTCTGCTGGCGCAACCGCACGTTATTTTGCCCCGGGGCAAACAGCCATGCTCCCCCCCCCGCATTTTCCTGCCCGTGTGCCCGCAGACATACATAGCTTCTGCCCCACATCCTCAGCTTTATAATACCACAATGTTCATAGGTCTAGGACCTGTAAATTGGTGGATTTTGCTTGTCTGATGGTTCAAACACGTAATGAAGCCATATAATACATTTTCTGCCACTTTTGTCCTGCAGAACTTTGTTTCTGTAAAACACAGATCTGTATGTCAGCAAATATATTCTTATTGTTGTTAAGGAATAGCTTTACCAACTTTGATTTGGAATGCATTTTCTTTCTCCCCTTCCCCCCTTGCTAGTCTTTACAGTCTCACCGGCTGACTACAGAAGAAAGGAACCAAGTTTTATATGACCTGAAAGCTGCAGGATGGTCTGAGCTAAGTGAAAGGGATGCTATATACAAAGAATTCAACTTCAAAACTTTCAATCAGGTAAATACTGTGAACAGTACTTATTCCCAATTTAAGGGAAATGCATTTATCTAAATTTGATTTATGCTCGGTTAAGGTTGAAACGCTTCATAAAACCAGCTGTGCTTGTTCTTCAGAGGCCTAATATGTTAATGTAAATATTCTGAATTTGAAGTAAAAGCTGGGGACTTGTGAGAGGGGGAAATGTGGAAACCTCCAACCCCCACTTTTTTCTTTCAACTGACTTTCTTCTCCTTTCAACATTCTATGCCTTTATGACATATATTCAGTTAGCATCAAGGGTTTTTTTAAAGTCATTTTTGGGGGGTATGCAGACACCCTCCCTTTGGGGAGTATGCAGGCACCCTACCTTGTCTGCTGGTAACCTTATTTGGCTGCTTACATGATGGACATCAAATCCAGTTTAGTATTGGATATAGTTACTAGATTCGTCTGATTCCCATAGGCCTCACTTTACATCTTTTGAGTTCGACTGGCATTATCACAACCCAGGCAAGGAGATGTGTTGTGGTGGAGATGCTCATGGTCACAAGGCTGAACCTGAATATGTCTGATGCTGCTCCTGATTCAATAGCTACTTATTTGTCTTTTCTTCAGTGCATTTCTTCTGATTTGCAAGAAGCAGCACATATCCTCCTCATTGTAGATTCTGAAAAATGTGTGAAGAATAATTTGATAAGCTGTCTTCTCATCACAGGGATTGAATTGAAAGGGACTCAGTGGCAGTATCATCATTTGTTACACCCCTGAAGCAAACATTTACAGGCTGATCCTAAACATGGTTATTCAAGGCACAACTAGATGAGATGTCAGGGAGCAATGATTAGATCACCCTTCTCTTAAAATTTCTATAAATAGCAGCAGCAGCTGTTGTGGCGGTAAATGGGACTGGGACTGCAGCTCCAAGTGAGAAGGTTTTTTTAAAAAAACCTTTGTCCTTATGTTGTTTCCCCAGTGCAAAGGCACTATTGGGGCACACGTGCAGCTGCTGTTTGCCCCAATAGTAGACACGGATGGGTACACTTGTTTTCCCTATTAGGCAAATAACAAGCTCTAGCAGGATGTCACTTATATTGAGAAAAACGACTGGGGATGGGAGGATTGACTTCCCTCTCTGCACCATGGTTCTTAATGTTATAGGCCCACTGGAACGTAAGAAGAGTCCTCCTGGATTAGACAGACCAGTGGTCCTGGTCTGTCTAGTCCAGCATCCTGTCTCACAGAGTGGCCAACCAGTTACTTTGGAGAGCCAATAACAGGGCATAGATGCAGAAGCCTTTCCCCCATGTTGCTTCCTGGCACTAGTATTCAGAGGTTTACAGCCTCTAAATGTGGAGGTTCCTTTTAGTCACCATGCCATAAGAACTTAAGAACTCTGATCATGATCTCCAATATATCTAGTTGCATCCTGAAACTTACTGCTGAATTTACTGCCAAAGACTGTGCACATTCATCCCAATCCAGAACTTTCTGAGATGATTGGGCAGATGATTTTTCATATGCAGTGGTGTTGTGTCCATGGAGCTGTCTTCTGTTTGCTGGTGTCAAAAAGGCAGGGTTGGCTCTCTACTTTCCAGGGTCTGGCTGACTTTCTCCTTTTGGCCTTGAAATGGTCAGGGTGGAGGTTTGTTGTCACACAGAAGAAGAAGAAGAGTTTGGGTTTATACCCCGCCCTTCACTTGGAGTCTCAGAGCGGCTTACAAACTCCTTTCCCTTCCCCTCCCCTCCCCACAACAGACACCCTTTGAGGTAGGTGGGGTTGAGAGAGCTCTTTCAAGAACTGCCCTTTCAAGGACAGCTCTTGTCAGAACTATGGCTTGCCCAAGGTCATCCAGCAGGTGCAAGTGGAGGAGTGGGGAATCAAACCCAGTTCTCCCAGATTAGAGTCCACACACTTAACCACTACACCAAACTGATCCTTCTGCTCTCTCTAGCTTTCCTCCATTCCGGGTCTAGGGGTGATGGTCTGGCACCTCATCATAGGCCTGTTCCCTCCTCTTTTTAAAGGCCTTGTTTCAGGCTGCATATGCTTGACAACTACCCCAGCCTCACTCAGCATGTGGGCTAGTTTCCCAGCACCTTTCACATGGTCTCTTGAGGAAGCCCCTTAACTCCTCCTGCTCCGTCTCTTCCCTGAGTGATGTGCCACGGGCTGCTGTGGCCATCCAATCAGTTTCCAGTCTGCTGATAGCTCTAATGCAGGCCAGCAGTTTAAGGGCCACCGCATGCCACATCTTACCACTGACCGGAGAAGAAGACCCTAAAGGTGAGTTTCCCCAGTTGAGTGGGCTAGCCACTAGGCCAAGAGGGGGAGAGTCTTGGTGGCATCTGCTGGCCCAGAGCACTTGCCAGTTGAAGAGGTTCTTGAGGTCCAGCACCTGACAGTGGGGCTCACCTTCTCTGTGATAAAGTTTTTTTATAAACAGAGAACATTCAGACCTTCTCCCCACTAACTGTTAGAGAAATGTTTTAGAACATAGGGCACTGCTGCACAGACATGAAGTATGGTGTGGGAAGTAATTTCATGTGGAGAAGTGGCAGTGGGTTGAGGAGTGTGGCGAACCCTTCCTCAAGCTACCCTATTTCTCTTCCCCATCTGCATTTCTAGCAGCAGCCTCCAAAACTGGAAATGCATTCTGCTATTAGAACAGTTCTTGGGGGAAATTTCTGCTGTCCCTATCTGGCTGCTACACTTTTGCTTTAAATTTCCCACCTTACCACTCTTCAAACTTGCTTGGCACAGTTCACATTCTTACATGTAAGTCTTACACAGATACTAAATTTTGAAAGAGTACTTGATTTCTGTGTAGGAAGTAACATGAAAAAGTCCTGTTGTTTTATGGTGGGATTTCTGGCTAGAACTAACAGATTTACTTTGGAGTTGGCCATTGCTCTATATCTGATCTAATGTTTTCCATTTTGAAAGTGAATTAAAGTGTCTAGTATTATATATTTCCTTGCTGTTGTCAATATTTATTTATAAGGTGGGATCCACATGAATCTTTTTTTTTGGGGGGGGGGGATCTAATTTTCCTCTCCACTACCATAACTTCTCCCCTTTTCCTGCTTCTTTCTTTCCCTCCCAACTACCAGCCAACCTACCTTTATCTAGTCCCCTGTCTTCAGTTTTCCCTCCTTTTCTTCCTGGGAAAACTTTGGCCTAGTTGTGTAGTGGGGAGCCTGCAAAGACTTGCAGGGGGTACCTCACTTTCTCCTCTGTTGCCTTCCCACACTATTTCTTCTTTCCCTTGTCCTATCCTCTGTCCTTTCCCTGCTTCCTTCTCAACTTCCTATGTACCTACCTTTCATGAGCCCCCACCTTCAGCTATATTTATTATTTATTTACTTCATTTATATTCCACCTTTCTCCACCACAGGGACCCAAAGCGGTTTACATCCTCCTCCTCACAAATTTGTGAAGTGTCTTAAGCTGTGAATTTGTGACTGATCCAAGATCACTCACCGAGCTTCCACAGTGGAGTGGGGATTTGAATCTGGGTCTCACATATCCTAATTTGAAACTCTAACCACATACTTGCTTTGTGGGGTAGCTGCTGTTGAATGACTGGATGAGTCATGCAAGTTGCCTGGTATCAAGGCATATGGTGGTTGCTGCAAGGCCTGACCCCAATGAATTATTGCTCAGAAGCCAAAGCACTCCTTATAAGGGCCCTGCTGTCTCCTCTTGCCTTTTGTCGAGAGACCAAGGCTTGAAGGCTGGCAATACTGATGCACTGAGAAGACATTCATTTCTTAAAGCTACAGGCGCTACTTATATTATTGGGGGTGAGCTAACCCTCCAATTTAGCCTTTTTTTAAAAAAAAAATCACTTTTTTCCTGTAAACCTTGGGCTTTCCTCAGGTTTATTGAAAGCTCTTTCTTGTTGGTTCATGGCCCCAGTCTCTGGATTTACAAATTCACAGATGGGGCTATGTAAAGAATTAGATATATTGATGATGTTCCAATACTTTTCATTAACAGAAGCTTACAAAGGCACAAGAAAAATAGATTACACCTAAAACTTAGCTATGTATCTGTATTGTATGATGATTCAGTCAGCACAGTTTTGAAGAACAGAAGTATGCCTTTGTCTGTATCAGTTCCTCAAGTCATTAAATCTTCTGTTTACAGAACATTGTGTGAATATTTAACCAAAATCAGACAGCCAAGAAATATACTTTCTCAATGGTCTTCACCCTGCCCTTTACAGATGGTGTAAAATCAGGTGTGTAAAGAGTTGAAAAGATGAGTTGACATAAAAGGCGTTTCTGATTTATGTGTTGCAGATGATATTGAGTTGATCTGTTCAGTGAAATTTTATTGCTTTCACAGATAACACAAATGATGCATAGAAAATTATGTGTTTCTATTCATGCCAGGTTTGGAAGACTCTGTATATCAACAGATGTTAAAATTATAAACACTGCTTTCTCTGTAAAGTTTTGTAAGTCCATAGGCATAAATTTGAGGTTTGTATATTATTTTCAATAGTAGGAAGAATAGACAGTTTCTTTGCAAATTTGGGTTAATTTGGCTCACAGCCTTTTTTTCCCTTGGGAAAAGCCTTTCATCCATAGGCTGAGTTTTAAGTAACTGTTATGAAATTGTTCTATAATGCCATGTTTAAAAATTCTGACAATTTCATATAAAATGTTATAAAAATGAGATATGGAGATTTAAGCCCAGAAACCAAAGCTGAAGAATACGTTGACATTTTTATGTAGCGACCTACTGCAGGGATTTATTTTTATTATTTTTCTCAATACCAATCTGACATCTTAGTAATGTCCACAAGCTGATTGTCTCTTATACCATAACATTGGCGTTGTTTTTTAATCAGGATGTTGATGAAATGCAAGTGTGATTCTTGTCTGAAGTAATTTACTTGCCAAAGCAATTCTGTCTTTGTTACACTATGTTTGTGCCAGTAGGGAACCTCTGAGCAGGGTCACTTGCAGGTATAATAGATCTGATTTACAGTCAGCGTCAGTCAGTTGAA